TATTCCATGAATCACAAATGGTATAGTCCTGAAGATTCAGCAGCACAATATGATGTCCTTTTAATAATTGATTTGGAAATAATGCCACATAAAGCATCCCACCACAGGTCCTACCCTGGCTGCATATCAAGTCCCAGACTGCACAGTCCACTAAACACACACACAGGTGGGTATAAAGACAAAAACCTTTTCTCTGGATGTGAAGACAACACTGAGGTTCTTTAGAACCAAAGGCTGGCCAGCACTGTAAGAGAAGTTGACTCTGTCAAAGGTGATGGAGCCTGTCTTGGGCCAGTCATCCGGAGGCTGCTTGTCCGTCTCCCAGGGTGCCTCACTCTCCAGCTCTGCATACTCAACCACTCTCTCAACTGATGTCATCTAAAAGAAATAAGATACATGCATTTTTCAGTTTAGCATTTTAGTGGAGTAGTAGGAAAAAACTGTGGCGGAGAGGGGAAACCTCAAGGTATGTAAGCTTCAGAATATGTAAGGTTTCAATAACAGTCTGCTACAATAACCACTGAAAACTAAACTAAACTAAACTAAAAAATCTTCAAGCATCCTTCGATTGCTTAATAGTATCAAAAAATCTAAAATGAAAAGAGCAGATACGCAGCAAAAGATCACCTTGATAACTTTATCACCCTGTTTCCTCAAACTGAAAAAGCTAAAAGTTAATATGAAAACTGTTTTTGACAACTTTTGAAGTAATAGTTTATCCTGTCTTCCTCCCAGTGTGTTTTCCTTGACTTTTCAGGTGTGTTGTCAATAAGGTAAAATATGAGAATACGCATATTAAAACCTAAAACCGTCTTGAATGGGAGAAATTTAATTTCTGAGCTTTTCATGGAACTGGATGTATCCATCTTTCATGTACAGTAACACATGTATGTGTTTGATAGCATTAAGTCAAATTCTAAATTGCATGTTTAGGGCATTAAAATGTCTCACCATGTTTTCAATCTCTGCGCTCTGTCTGACGCCCCACTGGAACATGCCTGTAAGTGTAACAGCATAAGACAGGGCCAGACCCACAGCACCTGGTTCCAGTCCTGTGACATCAGACCAAAACTTAACGTTAACACACATTTTTCAGAGTTTTTTTTTTTATTGTGTTTTCTCAAATAGTTTTAGATGTCAGTAGTATGCAGACATGTGAATCTGTGTTCCATACAGTACCATCCCTGAGGTAAAGGCAGCCAAAAGCTGTAATGGTGACGAAAACAGAGCAAATTCCATCCAGACGCACAGCAAACCAGCGAGAGGTTGTCAGGAATAAGAACCAGGATGCTGTCAAGAAAAGCAAACGTACAAATGGATATTCATTTTAGAAAATAAAGTCATCAAAAATAATCCATTAGCATCATTTGTCAGCTGACATGATCTTTTGCTCGTCATACAACTATATGTTTGCCACAACCAAAGCCTACTCAAATGGGATTAGTCAATAAATGTAATGACAGCAACAAACCAATAATATTCTGGTACCACTGTACCTGCTTCCTGATCACTGTTTCTATATACTCACCTGCAGGATACTGTTTAAAGAAATAACATGAGAATAAACCTTTTTTTCAGATCCTCACCTGAATGAAGATCTTGAAACTCATCGAACATCTGCTGAAACCTCTGTTGAACCCTGAAGGCACGGATGGTGCTAAGACCTTGAAGGGAGGAGGAAAGATGGGAGAAGACAGGACTTCGAGCTGTAAGAAATATAAAAGAATCACTTTTAGCAAGCAGACAAAATTGAAACTGTGAAAGAAGCTAAAACATTTAAAACCATGTTTATACTTAATCACAGTTATAAAGAGACAATACTCCTTCAGTAAAAAAGAGACAGACAATTTTCAAACAGCTTGTGCAATTTGATATTCATTTAATAAAGAGAAGATAACGTGGTGGTCATATGGTGACAAGCTGTCAAATAGATGCAAATGAATTCATGTCTCTGATTATTCAAACGCTTTAAATTTTTGGAGGCGGCATTGAAAGTTTTATTTGTTTCCTTTCACTGGACTTACAAAGTCATTGACAAAACCTAAATGTTTCCTTTTCATCCTATGAAGAGAACTGTTCCATCAAAAGATTACAGAACTGTCGGTCAATGTGCAGTTAGGTTCTGAGCTCAGAATAAAGGAGGTGGTGGCCTAGTCATGCCCGCTTGATATTTTTCCCATTGTCTGTGATGTCATGAACTCTCATCTCTTGAGGAAACTGCCTGTGACAGAGCCATAGGTTACTGCCACCTTTAGCCTCTATGCTAATAAACGTGGCTTTCTTCGGCGGCTCATTAGCATTCCTGTGGTCAGCTTTTGTCTCCCACTACAAATGGAGATGCCCATCCCCATATTGGAACAAAAAAAGATACTACTTGTAGATTCTAGACGCTTGATGTCCCTCGAGGTGTGCAGAAAGTAATGTCGTAGCAATAGGAAGACGGCAAGAAGAGGAACGACGGGAATCAGAATCCAGGGAATGATGACAGCAGCTACAGCAATCACGCCAATGACTTGGAGGAATACCTGTGAGAGAGTAGAAGAGCTGTGAGCACAATATTCACCAAATAACGCTGTCCAAAGATCTACTGTGTTACCTGCTAATGGGGCCGATTTCCTAAGACCGGACAAGAGACAATCTTTTAGCTATGTTTGTGTGAGACATCAGAAAGGTAACAGCAGGTTGTGGGACCGAGCTTATGTGACTCACAGTGTGAAAGGAAAACGATCACTGCGCTAATTCTCACTTAGTAGCAGGTGAGAATTTACCACTTGGCCGCAGTAACTCATATCCATTGCTCTCTTGGGCTTTCCCTTCAACACTTCTGGCCTGAAAGCCTCTCTGGCAGAACAGCAAGCCAACGGGCATGGCCACAGTGACTGGCAAAGAGCTCTGGGAACCACACTATGGGTGTCTGATACATCACACTCCAACCACACTGCCCTCAACAACACAGTGACTCATCCCCCTTGGTAATGGCTCTGTGACACATCTAAACCACGATACCTGATCTGTCTAAACAGGATTGCAGGCAATCAGTCTGATAGCTATCACAGTGCCCACACCTTCAGTGTATTTACTGTGCTCTTAAAGCAACTTAGTTTAAAGTACTCAGTTTGTACACTGCTAGGGCCCAAGCTCATCAGAGAGGCAAAGTGGAAAAGTGTGCTGTGGTCCAACAAGTCCATATTTTAATTTTGATATGGTAATCATGGGTGTTCTGTCCTCTGGGCTATAGTGGAAAAGGAATATCCACATTGTTATCAGAACAAAGTTTTTTTTAACTGCATCTGTGATGGTATGGGGTTCCTTTCATGCACATGGCATGGAAGAAAATATCTCTTTTACTTTCAAACCATGCCTATTTTGGAGCATATCCAGCCATCCCTTCTCATTTCAGCAACACAATGTCTAGACACATTCTGCACCTCTGACAGTAATGCAGCATCATAAAAGAGCGCAGGGACTCAGCTGGTCTCCTTGTCATCCAGACCTGCTTCCTATTGAGAAATGTGGGCTGCACTATAAAGGAAAAATACGACAGCTGGGAATGGGAAAGAATTCCACCTACAAAGCTTCAACAATTAGTGTTCTAAGTAAAGAAGATAAAAGTCACTGATGGTAATAATGATGATGTAATGCAGCTAGAAACATGCTCCTATGTGAAATTCAAAAACATTTTTGCTAAAATCATTATTGTGTATTTGTGTTGTGGGCTGTACTGGAAGTCAATTTTTCCCTGGAGATCAATAAAGTATATTCAATTCAATTCAATTCAATTTAACGGAATACATGTTAGAGTGTATTTGCATATCATTGTATTATGTTTTTATTTACTCTTTGAACTGAACCAACATCAATGTGATAGGTGTTCGTATTTATTTATGGCTGTTAATACTTAAAAATGTTAATTGAAATGTAGATGTCTGGAATTCTTTACCAGAATTTACCTTTAATGAGTCTCTTACAGCACCATTATCTATTTGCATTAAAAACGTGCATTACTTAAGTTAGAGGACGGACTTAGAGTCACAAAGGAGTTTGATGCCAGTACTTATTTCACTCCTGAATGTGCGTGAAACTGTTTCTTTTTAACTGAAAGGTTAAGAAGAAATTGTGTTAGTTACTTCACATTTCGGGGGATACATGCAAAAATTAAATCCTCACACCCTGAAATTAGAAACATCCTAAGAGATGAAACCCCCCAAAAAGTGCAGATTAGGATCATACGGTTACCTTCAGTGGTCTCACACTAGCCCAGAGAAATGAAAATTTAATTTAGCACCTTAATTACGGATGTTATCTGCCACTTAAGCATACATTTAAGCATGATCACTTTCACTGTAGTTTCATGATGAAAAGCCACTCGATTCCATTTGCAGTTCAGATAAGAGGGAATTACTAGTCTAACCATTGCTGTGGTGGAGCTCACACAATCAAACAGTGAGTCGAGGCTACTGAGCACAACTGATCCTGAGAATTTCACAGTACATAAGTTTCAATCTTAGCCTTGATGGAAGGCTACCAGACTGCAAAGTGAGATGATGGCACACGGGCCATTACTACATGTTATCCAGCCTTCCCTTGAGGGGATCAAATATTAACTGAACAAACGTCTTATCGTGTATACTGGTTCTCTTTTACTCTCCAGCTGACGACACAGTGACATTACTCATACACATTTGCTGGTTGGTTAATTTGAATTCTAATTGGGCCCATTTCAGAAGCAGCCGTGAAGGTCTCAGCCCGACCGGCTTATCTGACGGTGGGGTCATCTGAGGGAAGGGCAGAGGAACAGGCACCACTAGATACTAGTCTTGCCTCCTCCTGCTCCCCCAGGGCCTACTGTCGCCAGGACCTTGTTTGATGTGATCCATTTGCGTGGTTTGGTGCTTATCGTGTCAGCATCTGGAACACCGTGGCCCCCACCCACCCTACACACAGATGATTCCGATAAGTGGTCCTTCAAGAATACACCTCACCCCCCCAGACCACATCCATATCTCCTATGAAACCACACAGGAACAGAAAACTCCCAAAGCCACATCCCGCCGCACATAAGAATGGATAAAGGGATGAAAGCTTTTATATACAAACAGTTTAAATAAAGAATTACCCCTAATAGCTCTTTAGCAAGAAAAGAAAGCTCCCGCACGCATGTGATTCAGTCATTCAGGCAAACTGGGCGCGCTGCCGTGTCCAAAGACCATTCAGATCTCTGCTGACCCTAATTGCTTTATTTTTTCAATGATTCTATCAGCTCTTTGATGTTCAAATAAATGTAGAAAATTGAAGTTAATTGCTATATTTGTGTTCAGCAATGATAGCGACTGTTGTTCCACGGCTGAAAATAAACACTTCCCCTTAATTAAACATCCCTCCGGACACAAGGAATCATTATGCTTTTTACAACCCCTTTTTCATCCTCTCTTTATTTACTTGACAGTGTGCAATATTTGCCACTGGGAAAAAAAAACAGCTAACAAAACAGGAAATTGAGGAAGAGCATGGCAAAGGAAAAGAGGTCTCAAAAGAATTCCTCTGTCATCATTGGACTTTTTTTTTTTCCACTCCACGCTTTCTGTGACAGAGCTGCACAATAAGCTGCAAGGGTCAGTGGTATTGAAACAAAACAAGGCTGTTCCACTTGGGCCCTTTCAACAATAGTGGTGACCCAATCCATTCTACTCTGTGTTTGGGCTTTATTTTAGCATTAAATGCCCAGATGCTGTGGCTTTTCTTTGGGAGAAATGACTGAGGACACCTCCTTCACATTTTCCCTTTCTGGGCCATTTTCACTTCATAAAGCTGCAGTCAATGTGTTTTGTGTGCGGTGAGGAGGGTCTGACACATACTGTGGTGGTCTCAGTCGCTGTCTACATTGGTGGCTCAAGTAGTCCTAGGATTAGGCTTTTGTGTGCTGTGAAAAGGTAAAAGAAGTCACTTATTTGGGCTCAGTCAAGCTGCTGATTTCCAACCCCATTTTGGAAATAAGAGAAAGGCTTTGGGATGCCGTCTCTCTCCTTCACTGCTATAAATCACCGCCGTCCGGCAAATTCATTCATTCAGCTCCGTTTCTCCTCAAAACATTTCAAATACACAATAAACAACAACTCCCACATACAAAAGTCACAGAAAGCACAGAAGTCATTATCTTCATAATGCTGACAGGAGGTGAGATTTTAGATTAGATCGAGACTTTGTTATGTAAGTTCTCAGGCTCAGAGGGCCCGGGGTTTGGCCTGGATGTCTGAGTCAGAGCAGCTGAGGTGCTGGACCGCAGCATCATGGGAGACCACACATACACACGCACACACACTTGGGGCTTTTGCTGGCCGGTGCTCGCCATCAAATGACCATGTGTGGTATTGCTGGGCAGCCACTTAAGCACACACATGAGCACACACACTCATGACAATGTTTGGCAGTTTTTTTGTTTGTTTGTTTGTTTGTTTGTTTTGGGGTTTAGACGTACTCCTATCAAAGAGCAACTGAATGAAGCGAGCGGCTTAGCTCATCTTAAGGCTTTTCTCCTTTTGGGGGCACTTGTATTTTTGACTTTGTGAAGAAAGACAATGGCATTGTCACAAAACAATGCTCAAAGGTGATGTATACCACAGCCCATATACTGTCCTCAGTGTTTCTCAGAGTAACCTTTGTAATGCCTGGAGCTTGTGCATTCTTCACTTCTTCTGTCACCCGAGTGGTGAAGAAGCAGAGAAAGCCGGTGAAATCCCATCCTACAGCATTCATAGTTACGTCAGCAGTTCTCATATCCCACAAAGCCTGTAAGGAGGCCTATGACACATAAGGTGCCTCAATATATACACTCACAACAATCCATCCAAACGTGCTTTTAGACAGTAGCTTTTTTTCTAAATCTCTGTTTGGTTGCATTTTCTGTACTGCCTTTGTAATTTTTCATCACTTACAAACGTCATTTTCTCTCCCCAGATGCCAACAGTTTATTGCTTAAGTTGAGGTTTATGGATTTATATGCATCACTCATTCACATTTGAGAGCAGGTTATGCCACACTAACTATCAAATGCCATTTAAGCAAATTCAACGTTACAACTGATTTCTTTCCAGCGCAAGTGAAAGGCGATAAATGAGGCGCAGGACCCCACAGTTCGTGGTGTGACATGGCCAAGAGCCTTCACATGGAATCCACTGAAAGACCCCTGCATTCACCCCGTATTGTCTTGCCTTCCTCCCCTGCCCTCTCAATGAAAATAGAGGCAACCCTGGATTTAAAGGTCAAGTCCATACAAAGGCTGACAGTCCCCAAAGCCTGAGGTGTTTTTAATTGACATTTCTGTCTTTGGTCCCATATCCATAAAGAGAGGGGAGAAGGAGGCCTTTTTCTCCCAATATACTAAATTACTACTAAACGAGACCTGTGAAAAAGTTGGGCTCTGGGGTGTAACCAGGTTCCACCAGCTTGAGGGAATCCCCTTGTTAGGGGGGTATGGGGGCAGTGCTGAAGGGCTGTGAAGTGCTTACTCCACCATAAAGGGGGGAGGCTCAGGCACAAATCCCCATATAGAAGCGGCCTCTCTCCATAGAGAGAGATAAACCAGTTAGGGCTTTGTTTATGAAGTTTTACTTTATTCCCCCCTGACAACCATTTAGACAATGACTATGGGGAAATGTCCCTCCACGAATGAGCAACAATAGTCATGATCAGCAGCTTTTCTGAGCAGCTAATACTATGATAAAAGGAGTGCAAATCTTCCTTCCTGGAAGCATTAAAGACTGCTCCATGAAAGACACCTGCAAACAAGAGCAGAAAGCGGCACAAACAAAAGTGTTTTGTCCAAAGGATGCCACCTTTGTCCACTGTCACAATCACCACCCACTCTCAGCTGCTGCAAAAGAGCGACTGGAACAACGTCCATGTTGCATACTCAGCCTTAGTTCATCACAGCTTGCTAGTCACTTATCAAATGGCATTACACAGGAAATGGCAAAAATTAGAAATATTTGGACCATTTGGCTAATTCTTTTATTAACGTTGACTGGACCTAACAACTCTCGACGAAGTTATATTTCACTTTAACCGTGATTCTCCTTATTATCAAAATAAGGAGAACTATTGTGGACAAAAAGCTTTTGTGCGTATGATCTTTTGTGCTTTCAGCATTTAAGATGGCTTTTGTCTACAGCGAGATGGGTATCTGCCACAAACATCACTCAGGCATTGTGGAGGGGGGATTCATTTTCAGCTCGCCTTTGTTCTATTCTTTGGCCCGAACCAAGGAGCCACGCCTGCTCCTCTACCTCGAATTGTGCACTGAACATTCCCTTCTTTGTGGCACTAGGTGCATGAGCTGGCTCATCTCTGCAGGCTTTCGTGGGAGATGGCTGTCACAGTGGCAGGGTGGCATTTGGTAACCTAACCTGGTTATGCACTAGGGTGGCCCTTAGCCATCGGGCCAATAAGATTCTAAAGCAGTTGGTAAATGGTGCTGAGAAGGGAAAGTCCCCCTCTTGGTCTACCCCTGCAATCATATCTTACGCATGCTGCTATGGCTGTTTGTTTCTCTTTGCCACTCAACAAATCGTCCTTGTCATGCCCTCCTGGTCTCTCCACTGTTTTCCTCCATCATCATGTGGCTTTCTTTCTCCTTTGGTGCCTTTCTCTCTCCCAATTACTTTTAGTCTCCGTACACATTCTCTGAAGACTTCTGTTGTGTCACACTGAGGGAGCCACGCCCTCAGCCTATGTGCACACTTTTATTAAATCTGTGCAGGCGCTGGGCCGCGCTGGCGGGTAATCCTACAGTAATTGTTTCCAGATTAGGGGACCCGGACCACAAAGCAGGTTTAGCCAGGCATGAAATGGCCTTCCCATGCTGCAGTGCCGGCGACCAAACCTGCCGAGGTGAGACTCACCTGGGTGAAGTCCACAAATGTCCATGGAAGCAGGGAGTCCAGGTAGCCAATGTCCTTTGAAAACCTGTTGAGGATCCTTCCTGAGAAACAACAAAAGATAGAGTAAATGTCTGGATAATAGCATCTGTTTTTCTGTTGTTCAGAAAAATGTTCCACCATCAAAAATCCAAACACTTATGTGAGGTAAAACATTCAAAGATGACTCATATAATGTCACGTACATATTTATGTTTAAGTAATCCCATATGGCACTGAGAAGCGCACATATAAATAATTGATAGACACGTTTAATTCATCAGAAACTCAGCATCCATGAACACACTATTTGTTTGGTTCAATTTCTATTGAGCAACTATTACAAAAGTTCGCTTCAATTCAACAGAACACATAATAGACAATGAGCGTGCCATCAGGTGGAAAACACAAGCCAATCTCGATTAAACACTGAATCATTATTTGTCTAGCATTTCATAAAGACTGCCCTACTCTTTGCTCAATCCGTGTGGGAACCTTTTGTTTGGAAACAAAAGGGCAACAGAATCCGCATACCTGCCTTTATGCTCTGACTGGCAGTGTCAGCAACGTTAATTGAGTTGCCTCCAATCTGCTCAGGTGTTCATTATGTTGGATGGTGCTCTGCAGGTGCTGTGGCGGCCCTTTATTGTTACTCCTTGAGTAACTTTGCTCTCTTATTCTGATCCTCCAGCACATAAGATTACACTCTGCTGCTTTCACACACTGTTTACCGCAGGGTCAGTGATAGCCAAATCCCTACAGTGCACTTCCTAAAGACAGGCACGGCGGAGAGGCTTTCACCATCTGTGTCCCTGAAGGAAAGCACCAAACTTTAATAGGGAAACAACATACACTAGAGTGGTGCCAACATTGCCACCTTTGGGACTGCTCAAACTTGTGACTGCATCATACTATTCTTGCTATGCGCATTTTCCAACTTCAAATCAAAGATTTAAATCGTATTTCAAAAGGTGGACTTATCTAAAAAAAAAAAAAGGTTTTAAAAAAGACTCATAATATTGTTTTCATCTTCAGAAATGTATAAAAAACACATCACACACACACACACACACACACACACACAAATATTGTTTTACATACTCAAAGGGGTTCAAATAGAGAGAGTAAGAAATTCAATTAAAATTTACATAAAAAAACAAATTAATAATTCAAATGACCAATGGCCCAACCTCATTCTAACATTTTGAGGAAGTTAGGCCTATCGTGAGTGTCCAGAAGTGCATGGTATAAAATGCTCAAGGCACATAGGCAAGATAAAGAAGGTAGAATCAATGTGACCACTGCATAAGATAAACAGTTTGAAGCATCAACATTCAGAAATGAAACACCCGAGGACAGTGTATAGAATCTATAGTCTCCATTATAATCTAAGACAAATCAGTTGGATTTCATCATGTTGCAGATGGACTGAAAATGATGTTCCAAACCTGCTGCAAGTTCTTAAAGAGCTTTCTCCAAGCCGTAGCGGAAAAGGCCATACAGCCCAGTCCACCTTCGTATGGATCCAATTACTTTGCCACTTGACTCATTAGCACGGGCTTCACAAATAACCCCCGACCTCATTTGTCTTAAGTCCTGTTGAGAACATGTATTGCTGTCTCAAACCTGGGATCTACAACCAGGGAGGGCAAAACAACTCTTTGATGAGAAGCTGGTTGCGGCTGCAAGGAACTTAATCAAGAACAGGTCAAGAATCTGAACAACTCAATAGATGGAAGTATTAAAGTAAAACAAACTGACCCATATGGGATTGTATACTTGAAAGACTAATAATCTTGATTGGCATCTGCGGTAACAGCTGAGTTACAATTTTCTTTGAGGTGATTTTCTTTGAGTCTCAACATCACTTAGGATTTAATTGGGATTTCATTTTTCCAGCAATAAAATTATTTTTGAAGAATACCATTTGCCCTAAAACTTACAATGTAAAGGAGTAATCACTAAGATTTTATATAATAGATTTTTTAAACTGGTCAATTTCTTTACAAACTGTCATTCAATCATACTATTGTGGTTAATTGGCCTTAATTTTTCTTAATATCAAGGCAATGGATTAAACTGGAGGGAAATGGATTTTACCGGATTAGAACTGCAGTGTAGTATGAATGAAGAGAATTAAATTAAAATGGAAATTTAGAGGAACTGGCCATTCAAGCATGCAGATGAGTTTAACCTAGGTCACAGTGTAGGCCACAGTATGACGATGGACGAAGGGTGTGACAAAGTACAGTGAAAGGACAAAATGGGTGGCATATTGAAATAATGTTGTTCAATGGCCCTCTAAAGGTATGGTGGAGCTGTGGCACCACTGACCTAACAGTCGCCTTCCAGCTTCCAGCCAGTCCTACAGAGGTGGGCCCTGTAATCACCTCTCTCCACGGCCGTAAGCAGCTTACAGCTTTATCCAAAATGCCGCGCCTGCCTAAAAACATGCATGCAGACGAGGACGGGCTCCCCATAACAGCCATTGCATAAACCCAGCCAGAGCATTATTCCCCGCAACAACCCAGCAATGCTCCAAATCAGTACTGATTCAAAGTCAAGTGGCGTAAGCATGTTGTACACTTGGAGGCAGACTAATCTTATTCACAGTGTGAGTGCCCCTTTAGCATACAGACATCCCGAGGGGAGGGTTCATGCAAGGGGGTAGAGTCGCTACCATAGCAGTGTAAGATATTGCTGCTTTAGTCTGGAAATTGGAAGCGGGGGGGTGACTTGTCAAACTGTGTTGGTGAAATATTCAATAACATTTTAAATAATCTTACTGTCTAAGCCATAGATGACCCAAATCCATGCATATTTGACAAACAATGCCAATAAGAAAAGGATGGGTTTCTCTGGGTTGCATCACACGATGGTTAGAGGGCGTTAGAGCAGGGTGCATCAGCGTCAGCTATCAGCTGTTTGACAAGCGGCTCAGTTAACAGAGTTTCATTGGGGGTGAAGTAAAGACCCTTCACCCTCTGACAACAGACTATAGAGGGGATACATTACAGTGATGCAGTTACACAAAGACATGCACTGCGTGGTCATACCTATGAGGTAAGATCGGCATGGGACAATGGCTTCAATCACTCTGGGTGGTTGTCAACAATATCACCTATTGTGTGCAAAGGGGTATAGACATTTCAGGATATCAGCAGCATTAGTATCAAACAATTTCTCATGCTTTGAGACTCCAGGGGTGATTTGCGCCACTTTTCAGGCTCGGGAAATATCAAGCCCTCCCAACTAAGGTGGCCTCTTAGGTGGAGATATTAGGTGAGCGGGGCCCTCAATCACACTAAAAGAAGTGGAACAGTGGGGTCCGGCCAGAGAAGAGCGTGTGGCAAATCGCTGTTCCCTGTAAACATCAAGATAAGGTGAGGACTCAGAGCCGCTCCATGTGTGGGCCCCAGTGCAGTCGGAGGGGCCTTTCAGTGAGGCAAGTGTGATAATGAAGTAAGACCAGGGAGGGGGCTGCCAAGGCTGGAGGTGGCACAGCTCACCTGCACTTCCATGAAGGGCCCAGAGGCCTGGGGCAGCCTCCCACCGCCGGCGCCTTGCTGCCAATACTAATACATTCTAAATCCATTCTCTTCGCTCACACCGCCAGGCTCCTGCAATCTCCTCTCCTTCCCTTTCATGCAATTAAATAGTGGAAGTGCAGAGCGAGGGGGAGCCCTATCAGCCCTACTGCACACACACAAACGGCTCCATCTTCACATTCAATTTACACACTTCGATATCATCATCTTCTCTGCAGTACTTCCTTCACTTCTCTCTCAACACACTCGCATTCCAGACCTGAAATACTGACATTAAAAACATTGGCTCTGCAGACACAATTAGAATCTCACAGCACCGACCATAGAAGATCTGACGCACCCTGCATCAACAGCAGCTGAGTGACATCCGGCTCTGAGATGGCCCGCTATGCGGATGCGAACGGGAATGGGAGACACAGATGTGAGCGTGTTGACTCAAAACTCCACTCCTTGACTCTGCTGACAAGCTGAAGCCCTGGCCTGCAGTCTCTGAGGGGATTAGCCCACTCAATGACACTAAATTACAGGGATCAACATTAGCTCGACATATTCACCGCTGTCTGTGCTGCTGGAAGTGGATGGCATTTGAATGAACAGCTGTACACTGTACGTATCAATAAAAGTGAGCAGCATGAATATTTAAAGTCCCATATAAGAGAGAGAAAAAAAGCTTCCTTCTTATGGCCATTGTGTAAAGTTTTCAAGAAAGTACTGCTACAGTTTCTAAAAGGTTTTAATCATGAAAAGCAGAGACTTGAAAATCATCTTTTCTACACAGCACAAAAGATAACACGATTCAAATGGCGCAGAGGCTTTCAGCAGCAGATACAGAACAGCTCCTGTGCTCCTCCATCAATCATAATTCACCACAGCTGTAGTCTATTGTTGTGAACTGCATTCACAGAATAACAAATAAGACCTTTTGAGCAGCGACGCCTGAAATGGTAACCTTTAACTCTGAGGACAGCAATCAAACAGTGGGCTGTTCAGCAGCACTGGCACACCTATCACTTACACATGTAAACAGCTGTCAAAGCCTTAACAGTGCAGGGGACACACAGAAACAAATTACTCACACGTTTCATCAGACGGTAATGAATGTGGAAGCTGTGATTGAAGTGACAGTTATTGTATGGGGGAAAAGAATGTTCAAGCAGAGGAAAAACATCAACGAAGAGCTAGCGGTTTAGCCGACAACAGCTCCTTTTGTCCTGTTGTTCTTTAAAAAAAAGTTTCACAGAAGGGAATATATGAAGTGAAAAAGAAACAAACAAGAACTTTTCTTCATCCTGTCAGTAACAAAATAATAAAGACAAAAAGCTATATCTTTTCTATACATGCAAAGAAAAAACATTTTCTAATAATCCGGTCAAACATAGGATTGTTTGCCAGCTTGGAGGCCACGTTGTAATGACTGGACTGGTCACACAATGGTTACTGATAGCAACATAACAGCAATCAGATAACAGTGTCTGTTAAGCCTCTCCTTTACCGCATTATTAAACAGATTATTACACTATTCAAAGTGTTTGCTCTCCTCCAAGCGAACAGATTACCAAGGACGGCACGCCTAGATAAGCAGTCAGGTAGCCCGATGTGTAACGCAATGGCAGTAGTAAAAACAAAAGTCAAAGATTAAGACATTTTGTCTTTGCAGAGGAAAGCTTTGTCGCTACACCCACTTCTAATGCCAGTGGAAACCGCAGGCTCCTCAACACCCTCAAATCATATTTAGACTTGTGTTACCAGCTTATTATGACTCATTAGACAGATACAAGTTGACTTCTTGTTGAGAATTCCCACCCGAGCTGATTGTGCCTTACACGCATGTCACTATGAAGAGATTAGGCTGAGTAATTATCTCCTGACAGGTGAACAATGCTCCAGAAAAATTAAAGTTATCAAAGTGGGCCACTTGATAGTTGACTTTGGATATGAGTGACAGATTGTGCTGACATTACCTCACCTAATTAAAAAAAGGTCTTCCATTAATACAATAAACTCAAAAAGATAATATAACAAAAAGTGATAATTTAAATCTCATATAACTTTTCCTTTCTCTTTTTAAAAAAAAGGTGCAAAATATATCAGAAAAGTAAAAGACTGTGACTCTATTGTAGCAGCGGATTCAGTCAAAAACAGTAATAAGAAAATCTGTTCCTTAACAGGGCTCAAGATAAATATGTTATAACAAATATCTACACAACTCTTTACTCCAAACAACAATATCTGAGATGAATAAGATAATTATCTGCTAAACAAATATAAATTTGCACTCCATTTCTCTCACAAAAAAAGCAATATATTTGCTTCTTTTGAATATATTATGGCTTATTGTCAAGTCTCGTCCCAGGATTTTGGACTGGCACCCTATTTGCGCAGGCTTGTCTTCCAGCTCTGGCTTTGAGGAGGGAAGTTCATTCAAATGAAATTTAAATCCCTTTAAATAACTAACTGTAAGCTATCTGAAATTAATTAATTTAAAAGGATATTAGATTTGAATGATAAACATCTATTTAAGTTATTACTGTTACTTATTTTCAGATTTGAAGAATAATGCCTAGATTGTTTCTAGAGGGAAATTGAAAAAGAAAAATGAATCATACTTAACTACTTGAGAGTTTTTGGGAAACTATGGAGTTCAAGAGTAATCTTTTGGTTGTGGATCGTATAATATGACACAGAAAGTAACAGTCTGCTCTCTAGTGGTTGCCTGTAACAACAGAAACTTGTACAGCAGCTTGTCTCACCATTCTTGTAGAACATTTACCCATCCCCGTGAGGCACTTACCAATTGGGTTGATATCGAAAAAGTGTATTGAGGTCCGAAGGAGGGCATTAAACATGCTGTTGTGAAGAGTTTGGGCTGAGTTCACCAGTACATTAAAGAAAACCAAGCTGCGAAGGAACCCAAACACAACCGAGGTGGCTGTTAAACCTGACAAAAGCACAGAAAAAAACATTATTCACCACAATTTGATTATTGTGTGTTTTCTAAGTTAAGCCTTTAAAAAATTAAGTAAACCTTATAGAGCATATTGCAGTATCGCTTATTTTTTCATTCAATGCGTTGTTTTTTTTTTCCTCATGACTGCTTCTTTTTGAATAAAAAGCTTGAAAGAGTGAAGAGGTTGGGAGTCACAAGTAGACAATCCAGGCAATCCAAAAGCAGAGAACAAGAAAGCCTCCGCTATCTCGCTGTACAGCTGAGGCCCATGTGCGCATACATTGGGCCTTGAAGGCCTTGGGCCACAGCCAAAGAACTGTGGATCTGTTCACTGAATAGCAGCCGTATTCACAGCCTCAAAAGTACACAAAAAGCAATGTGCGCTCAGTGAGCTTCACCTGCATAAACACCCAGGTACAGGTCAAGGTCCAGCTGCTGAGCAGAGCTGCCATTGAGGTGCTCTGTCACACTGATGTGCTTCTGTTCAGAGGCCCTGCGAGTCAGCCACGAGAGGCACAAAGATTCACAAGGACAAACAAACATGGCAAAGAAAGAAAACTGTAACATGGAGGTACTATACAGAAAAATATCCTCGTATTATTAAGCATAAGGTCATTTGTCAAGAACTGACACATAATGCAAGAAATAATAATAATAATATGGTGCAATCGCTCTCTAATAAATGATGAATGTTGCAGTGTTTAGTGTGGGGAGGGAGGGTTAAAATTGCAGTTTGGTTAATAAAAGCTGTTCCTGACAGCGTTTTCTAGGGTTGAAAAAATCTCACCAGCGTGCCAGCCACCAATCCTGGAGAACAAATGTGATCTAAACATGACAAAACAAAAACTACAGTTATTTTAAGTGAGTGTTCAATCAAAGAATACATTTTATAAGAAATAATATTTTTGATATTTTCTGAGTTCACTTGAGATAATCTACATTTGGTATTTATCCAGTTCAGCTAAAATAAAAGCACCACATAAGATGAAGACAGTAACTCACATGAGCTAGGGCATTGAGTAACAGCAGGACCAAGAGCACCAGGAATTTAGCCCCTGCCAAGAAATATTTCACATACATACGGAGGCCAACATTTCCTTCTAAGCGGCTTTCCTCTTCTGTTGGTTGCAATACCTACACATGGAGCCCATAGTATGTAAGACATCCTGGATCAGGCTGAACTCTACGAGACACAAAGTGGGTATCTACTGCTCTCTAGTGGCCAAAAGGGGTGCAAAGAATACACTGGGATTTTAAGAAAACATTTTTGAGCAATTTCAGTTGAATTTTTGCATTTTAAAACTTGAGATGTACCAACCATTGCAAGAGAATCTGTTCCCTCTATCAAAGAATACTGGGAGGAGGAAAGGGAAGATATGGAGGAGTTGTCAGAAGTGTGGGAGCGGCAGGAGACAGTGCCGGGGAGGGGGGTCCTGTCCTGCTGCTCCTCCTCCTGGTCTTCCTTCAGTAGGGTGGTGAAATCTAGCCCGGAACCTTGCAGCTCACTGTACGTCCCCCGTCCTACCATCTGACCCTTACAGAGAGAAAAAAGCAGGAAGAAAAACCAAACGATTTACGAAGATATTGTTAAATCTATGGGTGCTTAACAGGCCCTGACGGGACACTGTAATGCAGTTAGATGGGAATATACAATGGTAATCCCCACATAGGCTCAGAAATTATTCTGTAAACCAGTGTCTGAGAGGAAACTTTCACGTGCTGAAGTTTGAATACTGAAAAATTAGGAAAAGACACCAGCATAAAATAGAGACCCAGAAACACTTTCTCTGGACATCTAGTCCAGGTGCAAAAGTTGGACCATTACGACACAAAAGCAATTAGCTGAAATGCTGATATCAAGAAATAATGGCAAAACATTTTGTGTCAATGAGTAAAACTATTCAAATAACGATTATTCATTTGTGCATAATCATATGTCACAACCAGTAGCTGTACTTGTATTAACTTAAATCGATTAAAAAAAATGTTTTCACACAAACCAGGTAAACACAAAAGCTCAAACCTCCTTCAGGACAACTATTTGATCTGCAGCCTTCAAGTACTGCAGCTGATGAGTGACAAGAATACGAGGCTTCTTCTTCAGAAGTCCACAAATGCATCTGGTGAGAAAGGTTTGCCCATAAAGGATGGCATACAGTTTTTTCACAGTACATGTAGTTAAAATGGGAAATTTGTCACATTCGCACCATCAGCGCAGAGATGTTGGTATCAGGACTTACTCTTCGAAGAGATGGCGTCCCACTTCAGCATCCACAGCACTGAGAGGGTCGTCCAGCAAGTAGATGTCTGCATCCTGATAAACTGCTCTGAAAACACACAGCTGGCCGTTACCTCTTTTACCGGCACCAGAGAGGGAGCTTTACTTTTCATGTTATTCTTCACACCTCGCTAAGCTGACCCTTGCCTTCTGTCCCCCACTCAGGTTGGCCCCTCTGTCCCCAACCATTGCCATGTCTCCCCCAGGCAACAATTCCATGTCCTGAATGGAACAGATATTCAAAAACCTTTGCAATGATTCATGATTTTTTTTTAAAGAAGCAGCAGAGAAAATGAAGATTCAGCGGACTTCTAACCCTCTTGAGTGCGCAGGCTCTCAGAACTCTGTCATACTTCTTGGGGTTGAGCTTCTTGCCAAAAAGAATGTTGCTGCGAACGGTGCCGGCAAAAATCCAGGGCTGCTGGGATGTGTATGTCAGCTCTCCTTTCACCTTAACCACACCGCTCTCCTGACTCAGCTCCCCTAGTATGGCACTCAGGAGAGAGGACTGGCATGAAAAGAAAAATCATAATTCAAATCTCATCAAGTCAAAACACAACCACCAGTTTTTGTGGGTCTTTACCGACTATAAATAGCTATTTGTTGTATCTTTAGGTTTATGACATGTGTGCACAACCAAATCTAAGAGTACAGAACAGACCTGACCTTTCCAGCTCCAACTGGTCCAATAACTGCCAGGAGCTGCTCAGGTCTCACTGTGAAACACACATTCTGTAAAGTTGGAGCTTCAAGATTCTGAAAGAAAAAGTAAATGATCTGGAAGGCTGTAGTAACCCTGCAATAAATCCCTGAATGGTGGGCTTACCCCCCTGAAATTTGAAGTGTGCACTTCAACTGATCTAAAGATAAACGTGAGAAGCGCTTTTAAAACTAAAGAACATTTTCTCACCCTATCCCAGTAGCAAATTAAATCCTGAAGCTTCACCATGCAGTCCTTCTTCTCCGCCACAGGAAGTCCAAGATGATGAGGGGCAACTTCCTCCAGGAGAAGAAATGTCTGAGATAAAAACACCGAACAGAAAGTGGTTTTTTCTATGACCAACACACACTGGCTGTAGATATACTTTCTTGTGGACATTTTTGTTCATCCCAAGATAACTGATGAGTTTTTCATAATCTTTAAACGTATAACCGATCGTTTTTTAGTCAGCCATCACATAAACTGTCACTCTATCTGTCTGAGCCATTCTTCGGTAGATTTGCTAACACAGAGAAACAATGCTTCTGTTAAAAGGCTCTGCCAGTAACAATTAATACCTGCCAGCTACCCAGTCTCTGAGGGAGCTTAAAATGTCTGCTGCCGTGCTTCATGAAGCAGCACAGTTTGAAAACAAACATGCCCCGTAATCTTTATGCCCACTAACTGCTTAACAATTGTAAGCAGGCACTTATTCTAACATGTTGGATAGATCAATAGTGTACATGTGTCATTCTCTTTTTATAAATGATGCATTTACTTTAATCCTTTGGATGCTGATCAGCGACTCAGAGACCTTCTCTATGGCATAAGGAAAAAAGAGGGTGATGGTGAGCCGAACAGCCCCGTACAGGGACACCGCCATAAACACTCTGCTCGCGGATAACTTGTTCCCCGTCAGCACGTAAATGCAGACGGTGAAGAAGATGACGATCTTGCTGGCCACAAAAAACGATGCCATGTTCAGGCCACGCAGGTAAGAGCTCTGCATGATCTTGGAGATTTCCATTCTGTGTGAAAGAACACATCTTAGTTAGTCAATGGCATCTGAAATCTCTGAATTATTTGTTGTCTGATTAAGTGACTGATAAAATGAAGGGGAAAGATATTCACAGTATTACAACGCAAGTTGACACGGGGTCGAAAAAAACAGCCAAATTGCTAGTTGTGCATTACCTTCTGATCTCATCCACCAGTGCGCCAAAAGGCTTCTCCCACCCGTACATCTTTATGACTCGGATGCCAGAAATAACTTCACTCATTGTGCGAATTCTCTCATCTGTTAGCACGGCTGTTTCAGCCCTGAAACGACCAAATAAGTAAATTCCTGAGTGAATGAAATCAGTGCGGACAAAACCCTTCAACGTGTAGAGTAAAGAAGCACGTCTTCAGACCTCAGATGAGAGAAAAAACGTCCAAACGTGGTCTGTATTGGCAACAGGATGAAGAGGACCCCCATCCCTGCGAGACAGGAGGGGCCGATGGCGTACAGCAACAAAAACAGTACGGACACAGCTTGAAGAGGGCCGAGCCACAAAAAGTGTAAGTATAAGGTAACCTGAAAGGAGATTTTGTAGATATAATATAATGCATGCAACATTACAACCGAGAAATGAGTTTCATAACATAACAAAGGCAGAACGAAAACACATGTTGACTACACAAAGCCACTACTCATAAAAATAAATGTATTCAAAAGGAGCGCATGGACTATAAGTTACCTCGTCAAATTTGTTGACATCGTTGGATAAAAGGTTAACCATCTGTCCTGTGGTTGTTTTGGCCAGAGCTGAGCTGTTAAGAGAAAGAGCCTTTGCAGAACAAACAGATATCAAGTCAGGTCACAATCCCAGAGCCAAATCAATGGTGATGACAACAGTGGCAGAACGGCTGACCTTCCGGTAGATCATGTGGCACATGGCCACGCGAACCTTCATGCCTACTCGCTGGACTTGATAGAAATACAGATGATGAAGGAGAGCCAGGCAGACGGTGGTCAGAGAGATGCCCGCCGCATACGTGTATGCATCATAAACTGCAGCGGCCTGAGTCGAGTCGTACCTCTCAAAGTACTCAATCAGCTTCCCAAGCAGCACCGGCTGAATTACTTTGATAATTTCCTGACAGAAATGAAAGCGTAAAGCTCATGCGTAGAATGAGCATGATGAACATGATGATGAAGTGTGTTTTCACTATGCTAGTTACCTCTATGAAGATGTATATTCCAATTACTGAATACGGCTTCCAATAGCACTGAATGAGAACTTTGGTAAGTCTGGGCGGTCGCAAATCTTTTGCAGCCTGTTGAACTTCTTGATTCCAGTACCTTAAAGCGTAAATTAATTTTCAAATTAAAGCCAGTAAGTCAAATGCTTTTTTATTAGAGTAGATTTTTAACTGATCAGCATCAAATTCTCCATTGTTACAAAGTCCATCACTGTATTTGGATGCAGAGCATATCATAAAGGCAAAGTAACTATAACTGCTCTGGGTTAGCGGTATTAGACTTTTAATCTAAGCACCTGTTGGTCCCATCTGATGCTAATAGCAAAAGTGGATACCCATCATGTTCCCGACAGAGATACTCCATTTGGATGTTATACCAGTAACTAATTCAGTTCAAGCAAGGCGAGTTCATTTGTACATCTCCCTCACGCAGTGTCCTAACTGAACACACTTTCCTTTGCCCCTCTAAAGTTAAAGGTGTCCTGACAGTTGACACTTTTTAAAGAGTTGATATGACCATGTGAGCAAATGCTGCCTGCGTATGAGAGTTTGAGAACTAGTGTCTATATATAGGTGGGCTCAGCTCCAAGAGCAAAGTTACCCCAGAGGCCAAACTCCCTCACAGAGAACAGCCTATCCCATTTATGGCAGATGTGCGGGCAGCAGTGGGCATTTGTGTTTCCTTGATTACCACGCACTTGAACTTTCTCCCAGTGGAAAAGACGGACGTTTCAAGATGGCTGCCGCTTATTGAAAGACTAAAGCTCTGCCTGCTGCATGGGCTAGTTTAGGTGGACTAGTTTTTGAGTACACCCCAAAGCTTGAGCTGGCAGTGGCTAAAATTCCAAGGATGTTCGGACTGATGTGTGTGATCTAAATTTGAGACACCTGCTGTTATTCGGCTATTGTGTTTTTCACACACACAAAGACACGTACAACGCAAGCTACAGAGAGAGGTGTTAATCCAAGGTTTGGGCATTTTTAGTATCTAAAAAAGACGCTTGGAAGCTGTGTGATGGGGAAAAAATACGCAAGTAGAGATACATGGGTTTTATCTTAAAGAAAGGCTAAATACACAGATATGGGATATTTCCAGATAGGACAGGATGACTGCATTTCAGGTGGAACAATAAGAGTAAATAAGTTCATGTGGGTTTCAATTAGACCTGAGTTAATGGCTGCCTGCTTCTGATTTACACCCCTCAGTTTATAGGAAGCATTGGAGTTATCTAAAACTCAAAGGACTACGGAATCTGAATTTACTTGAGCATCAGACTGCTGGCGTCACCACTGTGAAGACATCATAGCACAGTGCAATTGGTGTATCCTTTAAGATAGTTCAACAATAAGATGGCAAAACATCAAACTGCATCAGTTTGGTATTTGAAACATCAGAATTGGGGACTTACCGCAGCAGTTCCTCTCCAAGTGTTTCAGACGCATCCTCTGGGAGAACTTTGTACATGTCATTTTCTTCCAGCTTCCTCTTGTACCCAATTCTAAACAGAGGATTGAGCCAACTAAAGATAAACAGATAAGTTAAGTTAGTTCATGAACCCACAATGTGTACCTATCCACTGTTTTAGGTCAGATGTAAAATTGCACTTCACATCGCATTCATCTAATGACTGGAAATAATCTTTATTTTGTCAATTAAATGCTTGACAATATGTTTTTTGTTTTTTTTATCAAGAGTAAGAAAGTCTTCAAAAATACAAATGATGATCTGGAAGCAGGTGGAGACTTGGGCTAATCAGTCTGATTTTACACAAGCATAAATGGATGGTAAAGGTTTCCATCAAGACAGACTCGAAAAAGTGGTTTTAGTTGTTTGCCTTTAACACGCCTTATGCTGTTAAATATAATTCATAAATATATGAAAGTAAGGTGTTCTACAAAAGTTTACCTCTGGGGAATTATTTCACAACATTCTTTTGAATGAGTGCGTTATTGTTTGCATGACAGCAGAGAGGATGCTCTACAACCTCCTGCTCTCACATCCCTGGACCAGTTTTCCTGGGTGGCTTCAGAAACTGTCACACCGGAAAGGACTTTTTCAGTTAATGACGCGCGAAGCTTTCACTGGAAGGTCAGTTTTCTTACCAGAAGAAAATCTTGGAGAGAAGATTAGCTGAAGCCGACGGATTATCCTTCGCCTCCCTCTGCTGAGGTTCCATGCCCCCAACAGTAAAAGCGACCTGCAGGTTTTTTTCTGCAACTTGAGGAGGGGTGTCGACCAACTCTCAGAAGTGAAAGCACTTTGAGGGCACAGCGGGTGTGACCTCAGCGTCTGCCACTATCACACCAGCCCGCATTCGGCACAGGATTACCCCCAGAGGCAAAACACCGGCTTCAGGCTGCAGAGTGGACCCGCGTCGTTTGGCCCCGCCCACCGCAATACGATTGGCTGGCACCCACGTCAATCATTCCATTACGTTTGTTCCTTTAATTGTTCTTAGTTTGAAATCACCGAAACTGCAATTGTTTCAGTTTGCGTTACACGTTGTTTTCCCGCAGTTCGAAGTGACCAAGCAGACGTTTGCTTTTTTTTTGTATATCTAACACTGAAATATTATAATTTTCTTCACAGATTTGTTCTGACCGTTTTTAAACATTAAAACTAGCAACTATGGGGTATTGAGCTGAAAGCAAAAGAAAATTGTGTTAAAATGCATGTTTCTGAACAGTGAAATTTAAACTGTCAAGTATTCCATATGTTTAAGTTTTATCTGTTTAAGTTTACGAAGATGTATTACCTAATTAATTGACAACCTGAAAGATTAAAAAAGTAAACTGTGTTGGATAGTATATGGGTAGTGTAAGTGCCGGATATAATGTCATTATAATGTCATTATTATACTAAATTCTTGAATTGATAGAATTTGTTTTTTCATCTGTTTGTATATTTTAATTATCAGTTATATGGAAATTGTTAAGAATACTTTGGAAGTGAAGTGCAAATTATGGGATCAATTACTTAAGCTCATTTCTGTTGTAAACTTTGTGGAAGTTCTCAAAAAGACATGTAGTTCCTAAAGCAGAATACGATGTGGTGGAAAGATGAATGTGAATTTATAAGTGTAAATGCACTTCTACTGTCATGCTGAATACTCAAAGTACACTTTACACTGCATGTTATTCACACACACATTCAGACACTGCCTACACTGGTGGGCACACCAGATGCAACCAGTAGGCAACTTGGGGTTCAGAGCCTTGCCCAAGTAATCTTCAACATGTGGTCTGGAGGATCATGGAGTTGAACCACACCATTAGTGGACAACAGCTCTTCTCTCCTGAGCCACACCCACCACAAATCAGCTCAATCTTGTAGGAACATGCCTGTTGCAAGTAACTCGTATGCATGATGTGAAATATTGTCATATTGTTTACCTATTGTTTTAGATAATTTAATCAAGGTAATTGAGTCAATGAGCATTATAAATCACTTTGATCTTGATTTTCTATCCTTTACACTTAAAAGTGAGCTAAGGCAACACAAGAATAATGTCATATGTCATGTGTTCACATATGAGTTGGCAATCATTAGACAGTGAGTTGCTACATGCTGTTTTTGGAAATAGATGAACCAGTAACTGGACTTTGTCACCTGTATGTCCCCTGTTTTTAGGATTAATGATTACTTCTTTATTATTCTTTATGTTAATATCCCACTTACAATGATATTATTTTTGGAACAGAACATGAAGACTAAAATGGAGAGTTCTCTCATTTACCCTTTCTAAAATTAATACCTAACTCCGACCTCATGCTTTCCTTACACTGTCACTGTGACACACCAGTGTGTGTCCATCCTTCGCCCCTGGATTCCCAGGCAAGATGTGTCGTCTGTTAATCATCTCAGTGAAACACATGTCCACAGTGTAATATGGTTGCCTGAGGACATTTATTTTTTTCTCTTTCGTTTTATTTTTTGATTTGCCAAAAGACTGTAATTGTATCTGAAGCTGTCAAATGTCAGGCCTGCAGATTCTGGCTTTTCTCGGCGGTGTCGCCGGGCTGGGAGCCACGATCGCCGCCACGGTGTCAAATGAATGGAGGGCCACCAGCCGAGCATCCTCAGTCATCACAGCAACCTGGGTGCTCCAGGGTCTGTGGAACAACTGTGCTGGAAATGCCATTGGAGCTCTGCACTGCAGACCGCATCATACTATCCTAAATCTAGAAGGTAAGATCAGAGGGTCACTGCGTCAAAGCAACTGGGTATAAAGTCTCCGTAATGTCAGTGTTCCGCAGGGTGCATCGGTCCTTGTTTACAACCCTCATCGTCAAATGCACTGCACATTTTTTATTACTGATGTCTCATTTGCAAATGTACCTGATATACAATCCAACACCTCCTACTTGTTGACACAGAATCAAATGCCATGATTTGGTTATCTAACTGTATAATCTATGGGGTGATAAATTTGTCCGTTGCTCTTCAAAAAACTTTAGACTTCGTTACATACATTGCAAACGCAGAACATTCAATATTTGTCAAATATTTGTTTTCCATGATTTCAAGTCTTTTCTGCACATGAATAATTGCTTTGCAAGTAAATCTTTATTTTATATAATAGAAAAAACTTTTAACATGCCTTTGTACAGCTTATATCATTTATACTTTCCTTTTTTTTCTTTTAAACTAAATTGTTCATAGGCCAACTGTTTTGTTACTTCATGCAAAAACTGGAAGTATGCACTTAAAATACAAGATGGAGAAGAATCCGTGTATTGGATGATTTTCTTTCCCGTTACAGATTATGGCTGATGTGTTAACTGTGGCAAATGTGTAATCTTTCGATGGAAATGTCAAACTGAGAGTTTCTATAGAGCCCAGGCTGAGAAAAAATGAATAACTTTGAAAGCAGTTTTTCAAGATCATCAAACCAATAGTTCTTTCAGTCAAATTTAGCCTGACAATCAATTTTTCTTTATTATACTGCACTGCAATGTGGAAATCTAATTAATTCTACCTATAATTATTCCCAACAGGAAGATAAATTGTGAAATATGGTTAGTTTTTACCACTCTTGAAATCATCCAGCCTCACACAGCAGAGCATTACGGAAACATGTGTTAAATCTTGGGCATCTCGTTATTTCTGTTGACTTTTATGACAAACTCTGGGATTCTTTTCTTGAGAAGTCTAAACCTATTCTGATTTGAGTCTGTTTTAACTTTAATAGACATAACAATTTAACTGTTACAAACAAAGAGGATGGAAGTACATGAAGTGTTTTGATTTCATTGCTGCTACCCTTTCATTTCATCAACTCCGTTAGTCCCAAAGTTATGCTTTGACCAAATCAGTCAAGGAAATGATAGACCCAGTGGTTTATAAGCTCAATCATGGCCTGACATTTCAGGACTAATGAAATCTTCACAAAGTTAATAGTGTTTCTTCCACCATGAAGACAGCTTAATTGCTTTCCCTTTTGTTTATCTGTCAGCAAATATATATATATATATACATATATATATAAAGTGCAAAGCACAGTACAAATTATATTAAAAATGGCACGAACAAAAGGAGTGTTGGCAAAGGAAGACCAACCTCTTCTGGTGAAGACTAAGGCATATTTTATTAAATTTTATTTATCTACCAATAGATATTGGTAGATAAATGCCCACTTTGAGTAAACAATTTCCCTTATCTGAGAGCAGAAGTTAGAAATACAACTTATGATATAAATCTTACAGCCTGGTTACTGCTCTTACCAAATAGCATCAACAAAATATGTTTGATTTGTTTTTCTTAAGTTCACTGTTTAGTTTGAGACGTAGCTCCACCTGATGGTCACAGGCATTGCCTGTTGGGTAAAGCCACGAGAGGGAGCTCTAATCCACTTTATGATAACGGGAACCTGTGTGACGTCATTCACCTCTCCATGTTCTTCTTTTGCAAGTTTTTCTTTTGTTTACTTTAGTCTGTGACATCTTTGTCACTCGTCACATTTCCTTAAACTGAAATTGTGTTAATTTCAGCTGCTAAGAAATCGGAGAGTTAAATGCTGTTAATAAGTCATCTGAATTTGGCTATTTTAAGCCCAAGAGGAAGAAACATTTGTTGCATATTAATGATCGATTGCACTTCAAGGTGACATACAGAGGATGTTGAAAATAGCTGAAGTCCTCTAAATATTGACCTGGTTTTCTGCAGTGTCATACAAGATTACTAAATGTTGAAGTAAAAAAAAAAAACAGGAATTAACTCAAAGTTGGAAATATAACTTACATGTAAGGAAAGAATGTGATGATTGAGACATGATTGAATTATTTGACAGATTTCAATTCCACAATGCAGACAACCCCTTTTACTGTCTGTACTCGTCTCATCCGATTTTATTCCTTGGAGCAGAAATTGTTAGATCACAAGCTATATAAAAGTCTATACTCACGCTTGAAAAACTCTTGTACTTTTCCCTCAATGGATGTGTTGATGGAAAAGAACCGATAAAGAGTTTTTATATCAGTGTGATTTCACTTCAACTAGTCATATTCTCTCTTAAAATGGATTGATTTGCACTATTCGTCCAGATGGATGCTTGAGATTAAACCTGAACTCTAAATTATGTCATCACAAAAAGCCATCATCCAGGACTTTCACTCCTGGTCAGGTCAGCTGTGAGTCACAGTGACGTGTTATTTGCCACCAAGTGGCCAATAGCCCATTGGCCACTTGGCGATGTTTAGGGCCAAACTCCTCCCAACAGAATATAACTGTCCTCGACACATTAACTATCAATCACTGCATATCCATTGAACTACCTCGGCTTGAGCCCTTAACAAGTCTTACTAGACTGGGACCTTCAAGTTGAATTCTCTTCTCATTAATTCAGTAACCACGGCGAGGTGTGGCAGAGTTATCCTGACAGGATGAGCGGCATGATTCAGGAGATTTTGGCCTTTGTTTTAACAACTTCGGGATGGGTGCTGGTGTCTTCCACTTTACCAACGGACTATTGGAAAGTGTCCTCTCTTGATGGAACAGTCATTACCACAGCTACCTACTGGTCCAATCTTTGGAAGACATGTGTCACTGACTCAACGGGAGTTTCCAACTGCAAAGACTTTCCCTCAATGCTGGCACTGGATGGTCAGCGGCTTTCCTCCTCAGATGACCTGTACTCGGCTTTGTCTTCGCCCTTTTGTTGCTCTCCTACTGTCATGTTATCTTGATACTCTGATATTTTTCAGCTCAACATGATAAGCGGTCATAGATGTGCAATTCTCTTTTCCATATCTACTACTTCTCAACTCATGCTCATTTGTCTTCACAACTGTCCGGTTTCAGCTCATTATCTTTATAGTTTTTATGCCATTCTTCAGGTTTAAGTCCTTTGTCCAAGGTTAAAAAATCCAAGTTTAACCTCTGACTTTTATATATCCTGTGTCTAATGCAAGTCTCCTCGGAAAGACTCACTTTCCTCTAAACGTGTCAATGTTTAGCTTGTGCTCTCAGAGCTTGAAACCTATAAAAGAGATTTACTGGGAGCCTTTGGCATTTTTGACCATGGATGAATAGTTTCAGGGGTTAATCTCCAAGGTAATATTTGGCTCAAAATCTCATCAAGGTGGCCGTTTTACACCCAGACATTTGCCGCAATACGACAAAGAGCCTAAAAGCAATTGCATTTACTCGTGACAAATTGTATTGCTTACTTTACATGTAAATTGGTCTGGAGGTCAATTACCTATTGACCGTGGAGTGTATGGGTGTGGAATGGACCGCTGAACCAAATAAAGGCAGAAACTTTTTTGCGTTTGCAGGTTACATCCAAGCCTGCAGAGGACTGATGATTGCAGCAGTCTGCTTGGGGTTTATCGGGTCTGTGCTTGCCCTCGTGGGGATGAAATGTACCAAAATTGGAGGGAGTGACAAAACTAAAGCCAAGATTGCTTGCTCTGCTGGCATAGGTTTCATTCTTAGTGGTAAGTACTGTTTACATGCATGGCATCATGTTTCTTAAAGCAACTAAATCATAATTTTCTATTTCTTCCTTTTTCCCAGGTCTCTGCTCACTCTCTGCATGCTCTCTCTATGCACACCGGATAACATCAGAGTTTTTTGACCCATTGTATGTGGCACAAAAGTGAGTGGATTTCTGAAAGTGAAAGAATTGAGATCTGTACCAATTTAGAAACAGTGTTCTCATGTGCAGCTGCGTATTTTCAGGTATGAGCTGGGAGCTGCCCTCTTCATTGGCTGGGCAGGTTCGATTCTCTGTATTCTGGGAGGCTGCGTCCTGTGCTTCTCAATTGTAAACTCTTTTTCCACAAGGTTGGTGTGAGCAACACAATCTCCGTTCACAATATGCATTTGTTCGTTTAATACAACAATCTTCTGTGTCATTCGCGCCCATGAGTCTTCATCTTTAAAGATGAGGCTGCGTTCTTTTTCTTTACAGCCACAGTCAAGGAAAGCATATCTACAAAGGAGCTGTGTCACATTCTCATATCTCCGCCTACACAAGAGGGCAGGCAAAGTCTGTAAACCAGAGTTCCCCAGCAAACTACGACATGTCTTCCAGGATGCAGCACTTTGATAAGAATGCATACGTGTGAGGGATGTGAATGCAAACAACTTTTTTTTTGCCTCCAGTGACTTTAAAAAGTTATGCACAAAGCTGGAGATGCAGCACACATGGAGGCTTCTGTTAGACAACAGCAAAATATACTGCACAAAGTAAATCAGCAAATTAATTGTAAAGATTGCTATCTGAACTGGAGTTTTATTTTCTCCCATGTTACCATTCAGACAGTTACCAAAATTAATCTAAGTACTAAAAACAAGCGACTCATTTTAAAATAGTATCATTTTCTGTATTATTTTCTGAATAGCTATGTATTGAAATAAAGTGTGTTATATTTTGTGAAACATTGATGTTGGTAGTTGTATCTTTAACTCTTTGTGACATCTTCTTGTTGTTAATCTGTAATGACAATATTTAAAACCGTGTCAGGAACCCATTTTATCTTGTTTAACATGACATAAACATTAACTTTTTTCTGTAATGGGCAAACCTGAAGACGGTTAGAAATACAAAAAGATGTGGATGTGAAGTGCATAAAAAATGTCTGTTGGTTAAATTTACCATAAATAAAAGTAAAAAGCAATGGATGCTGTTTTGTGTTTTCCTTAATTTGACAGAGATGTGTTTTATTTGCTCCTCAGTGATGGCATATTGGGTATAAAGACAAACGGAGATTGGGGTTTCTTTTAACCTCTTGAGATGCTAGATTTGATATTGTATGCTTTTTTTATTTTATAGTATAAAATCTGAGCATTGTTTATGACCAGGAATGACTTCTTAAAATGATATATTTCCTCATTTCGAGGTGAAGGGTCATCAGGTGGTTAGCCCCTTGTTACTCACTGTCCTCATATTGTTGCTTTATTATTCAAATGTGTTTGTTAACTGGTCAAAAATGTTTTATCATGAGTACAACAAGGAAAAACATAGCACAAACATAGGAAAAAGCATTGCTGATGAATGAGAGGATGAGAAATGTACCTGGAGGTGGTATGAAATATTAAAAGTAGGAGGCACCCTGCGGACCATTTACTGTAAACACCTTACACCATGTTACAGGGCCCTCATCAACACCAGATGCACACTTTGTCATCCATTCCACCCTCTGACATGAAGTAAGAAACCCTTTTCCTTTTTTTCTTTTCTGTTTTTTAAACCTTACTGCTAACCACTCCACAGAATTGTTAAAGAATTATCTTATTTGGACTATCCTTGAACACTATTCTTCATCTAAACAATGAGGAAACGTTTGATCCAAATCTTTGGCTTTCTGATCTCATCAATGGGATGGCTCTTTGTGCTTTGTACAATGGCCATGGACTATTGGAGAATCTCTCAGCTTGGAGGACAAGGAGGTTCTTTTATCATCAAGGTAGCCTGGTACTGGTCCAACCTATGGAAGGACTGTTTCACTGACTCCACAGCTGTCACCAACTGCAGAGACTACGGAGTGCTGTGGAGTGTCCGCTGTGAGTGGTGCACCTCAGAAACACAGCATTGAGCATAAAATGCAATACCAACTTATGTAGTCTTTTGTTCTGTTATCAAACAGGCAGACAGTGGAGGATTGTTATAAATGTTAAATCTACACAGATATGACTGAGGGAGAGACGTGTCAGTTTAGTCCTACAGAAGAAAAATGGAAATGTATTCGCTTTTAATGAACATTTTTACATTTTTTAATGGCATGATCTTATCAAAACACTGACATTTTAAATTAGTCAAGAGCAATGTATGATTGAAAATAAATAAAGAGCAAAAGTTGATTTAGTTGTATGAGAAACTGTAAATGGTTAAACCGAGATTTCAAATAATTGTAAAATACCTGATGATGCAACACTCTTGTGGTTTCAAATATATTCATTTTGTCAAACTACAAAGTGAATGAATTATTTACACCATAAATGTATCATTTAAAAACAGATGAGGTCGTCTTTGGAAAAAAACAAATGAGAAAACCTATATGGGTGTTTCAAATATTTCTTTGAGAGTTGTTGTGGACGTCAGTGGAACTCGAATCAAAATCAAGATAGAGTCACTTGAAGAAGTTAGATGTGGCATGCTTCCCTCCAAGCAGAAATCTCAGTTCTAGATTTAAGATTTTTCCTGTCATCTCGCATTGTCCTTTTCATCTCCATCTGTTTGCCGCAGACTATGTCCAGGCAGTAAGGGGGCTGCTCATGTGCGGCCTGACTATTGGATTCTTCGCGGTGGTGTGCTGCTTTGTGGGGATGGAGTGTACTTATATTGGTGGAGCCGATAAAACCAAGGACAAACTGGTGCTGTCAGGAGCAGTGTTCCACGTTTGCGGCGGTGAGCTCTGAGCCTGTGGCGTACGTTTCTCTGTAAAAGGCCGAAATGTTTTGCCCTCATTCATAACTTGGTTTCAACGAAACCTCTTTTCACAGGTGTGTCGAATATTGCAGCCTACTGCTTATACATCAACAGGGTTGCCAGAAACGCTTTTTCAAGCAATTTAGCTCCAGGAACCCTGAGGTAAAGTTTGTTAGATTAGAAAATAAAACTGGATTATACATATGAATATCTGCTATTAGATTCTTACTTTTTCTTAGCTTGAAATAATGTTTTCTTTTTTGTATACTTATTGCAGATATGACTTAGGGCCACCAATTTTTCTGGGACTGGTGGGATGCTTTTTAATCTTTTTCGGAGCCGTGCTTTATGCTGTGACAATCTACAGAGTAATCTGCCCTGAAAGGTATTTAAATCCCTTTCTGTAAACCTTTTTTATATGTTCATACTGAATACATGTGGACCAAATCAATTTTTTGTGAATGTGCTGCTCTTTTAGGAGAGATACAGTAGCCTATGGTGGAGGCACATACATGGCCCCCGCCTCCAGAGGAAGAACCTTGTACACTGGATACTACGATCCTTCCAGGATGTATGGAACTTATGTGGGCTCCGGACGATCAAGCAGCAAAATCTCAAGGCTCTCTCAGACCACACCGACAAGACTGTCAGAAAGGGATGCATTTGTTTAGCCTTGGATCAACTATTCTTTTGTTAAAGACACGTGATTGACGGATGGTTTCAAAGCGTTAGATATGTAAGCTGTAAATAAAAAAGGAAATGTATTGATGTCACAGTGCACCGAATGCTGAAAAAAGATCATCATCTGATCTTATAATGAGTGCCCCTGATGTTTAGTCTACTGACTTACTGCATCCTTATACAAGGACATTGCATTGTTGCTTCTCCGCACCATGATGTTTCTTTTCTTTCTTTTAAACTCTGTCCTATTTGGCTCAACTAATAATGTCTTTATTGTGGTCTTCAATTATGTAGGACCAGTGTCCTTATTATAGGGACAGATGTTTTTAGAGGACCGGTGGTTGTAGAAAGCTAAAATGTTGTTTTAGAATGATTTGAATATTTTGAATACATAAATATACATTGTAAATACTAAGATATTTAATGGAAGAAAATTCATTTCTTGTATCGAGTTATCAAACTTTTTAGCTCTCACTTATCCCATTGGAACAACATTGGAGAAAACATCAAAAACCACATAAAAACAGCGTGGGTCTCAGGTGGTTAGAGTTTTAAGAAATGTTAAAAAGAGACACCATAGTTGATAGCAATTAATGCCTATACTGAGGAACATTGCTGAAAAACAAAGGGCAACTAACACAGTTTGTTACTCTTTTCTCAAAAGGAAGTTAAAACACCAGCAGGACCAAGAAACCCTCGAATGTTCTCTGGTTTTATTTAACATGGCCTAAATAAGTGACTTGACCGCTGATTAAAAAAATTACTCAAGGTAGAGGCACTGTCTGGCTTGTTATCATTGCAGAGTAATCAGTGGGGTATTATAAGATGCAATCCAGGAAAAGGGTTTAATTCTGTACAGCAATGCCAAATGACATTGCACATATTGCAGCAGCATGCCTCCATAATATGAGTCCAAATGCTAAACTGGCCAGCCAAAGTTAATAAACCATGAAAAACCATTTGGTGCATTATGATGCAAAACATAAGAACAAGGGCCCTTAACTGTTAGATAGCTGATATCAACGTAGAGAAAATAGACAACATTTGGCTTTCATTAGCTGTTGTCCTTAGTTCCAAAATTCTCTGAAAAGAGGCTGTAAGAGAATAGGAAAGGCAGCATCATGATAATATGTTACACTCTGAACACTCTTATTTACTCATTGCTGGCAAAAAAGATGAATAGATGAACTGTAGGTTAAGTGTTTTCAATAAGTATTTTAAAATAAATGCATATCTTAATTTAACGAAACCACTCTGATCTCACTCCATTTTCACACATCTATCAACACCAGCAGCTTGAATGGTTTTCTCAGATCAGACCAAATGTCAAATAGCACAAATTTCTATGAAAGAAAAGTTTTTTATTTAGTTTTATCTGTCCTGGACAAACAGATCATACCGTGTGTGAAATATATTGTCTTGTGTTTACTCTTAATATTGATTTGATTTGACCAATGTATGTGTGACGGTTAGAAATGCTACTTGAAAATATGTGGAAATAATGGATACTTAGGTATTTAATTAAAAAGAAAATTCTCACAGTTAACCAACAGCTGGTTATGTTTTTGACCGTCTTCATAACAGAGCACCTTGCAATATCAATTTCCACCAAAAAGCATGGGTCTATCATGTAGTTTCCCCCCAACACATGCTGCACCACATCACTTTAGGTTAAGGCCAAACGTCTCATGAAAGAACTACAATGTCCTGTACAACTGAACGGGTTCTGGAAGGCTTTTGGGTATCAACAGCAAACACATTAACACAAGTGATCTTTACAAAACACAGGAAATGCAGTTCAAGGCAAAACATGTGATGATGTACACAAACCCCAAACAAAGTCCTGTGTGTGTGTGAGTGTGTGTGATCCGGAGTGAATTTTTCCTTCTGCGTGGTGCAGCGGAACAGTAAGCGCGGAACTAAGGGCCAGGCACAACGGTGTCCCATATTTTCTAGAGTTTGGAGTTGTGATTTCTCCATCCAGCAGCTGAGCAGCAGCATCGACATGGGCTACAGGACGGTGGTCATGTACATGGAAATTGGCTGCTTCGTTGTCTGTGTGAGTGGATGGATCCTCGTCTGTTCCACCATGCCAACTGAGATCTGGACTTGGTCTGAAGTTGGCAGCATAGTCTTGACGACGTCCAACTACTTCTCTAACTTGTGGAAAGACTGTATATCTGATTCAACAGGAGTCTCTGACTGCAAGGGAATTCCATCATTGCTGGCCCTGAACTGTAAGTGGATGGTCTAAACCAAATGAATAAAGAATAGTTTTCTTACAAATCATGAAGTAATTATTTTTGGTCCCGAACAGGGGACATTCACATGTGCCGGGCTCTTATCATCATCTCTATTGTCCTGGCTTTCTTTGGATCGATTCTGGTCTTGGTGGGAATGAAGTGCACTAAGATTGGCGGATCAGAGGTCACTAATGCAAAAGTCACCTTTGCTGGGGGGATGAACTACCTCATTGGGGGTAAAAGTCAAAGTCATGTGGAATCTTGTAATTCTGTGTGCTTAGTTATGACTTTCTGACCAAAGTTTCTGTGTCTTTACAGGATTGTCTGCCATGGTTGCTTTCTCCTTTTATGGAAACCAAATTAGAGCAAACTTTCAAAACCCTAGACATGTAGAACAGAAGTATGTGGACTTAATTAAACATACAACACATGAATTAATTTAGAGCACTGGCACTTCTTAATCTGAGAGCATCTTGTTCCTCTTATTCTGTTTTATTTACCAGGTTTGAAATAGGTGTCGGCGTCTTCATCGGGTGGGGTGGCTCGACTTTACTTATAGTTGGAGGCCTTATTTGCAGTATCTTAGCTGGAAGGGAAGCATGCGGCTCAAGGTAAAATTCTGCTGCTATAAATCTCTTTCTCATAATTTGTACATCTCTTCTACCTTCAGTAATTCAAATCTGTGCTTGTTGCTGAATTTGAACTCTTACAGCCCGGAGACAAACCCTTCCTACCCCGATTACACGTTTCTGCCAGCAAAAAGGAGTATCGTGTCCTCGGCTCGCACAGGGATCAGTGAGAGCCGAAAATCCAGAGTCACCAGCAGCAGTGAAGCCAGCAGCGTCTCAACCATCTCCAGTAACACCAAAGCAACAACCATCAACTCCTACGTTTGACTTCTTCTCAGAGAAAGAAAGGAATAATTTCTCCTATATTATTATGAAACTACAGTACTCTTTTATAATTTGGTTTCAAATACTTTAGAAGTTTATCATTAAAGGCCGCTCTGACTTGTACTGCTTGAAAAATGCATTTGTGAAATGTATTGTTCTCAGATGGTTGTGTTTTAACTTGAGTAACCCAATGAATACAGTGTCTAATATAAATATTGCTGCAATCAACACCAGTGCTATGTTAAGATTAGTATTTTGATACATTTGAAGGGTTTTAGTTATTAGATCTGATAGGTAAAATCATTTTATTTGAATACATAGATTAGATCATTTAATCTAATAAACACAGAATATGAACAATATGAAAATTAATATATAATTCTATCCTCTTGGTAAGTTGTCATGATCCGAGACTTGTAAGGAGACCTTGTTTTTTATGTATAATTTTTGGACAAAGCAATTTTTCTACAATGAATTTTCTTGGGCTTCCTCATCCCTCACACCTACATCCCTTACCTTATCCCTAACCTTAAGGCAGTCATTTTTAATTTTCTGACAGGCTCTATTGAGTAAAATGCTGTACACATTCAAAGTTATGCCTTGCAGTCATAAAATGTCCTTTTAACTGTAAACAGACCCAAATCTCTGACACTTACACTAGCTTGGATTTTACACTAGCCAACCGCACTTCAAATCAACTGCATGCATTTTGCACAAGGTGGAGACAACACATATTGAGAGTGTAATCATCCCTATAGTTAATCTAATCATTAATCTAAAATGGCTAATGACAGTTGAATTAACAGCTTCTCTGAGGAAAATTTTTAAAATGTCAGTTTTCAAACTGAAGAAACTTTCAGTCTTTCCTGTTACTGACCAAATATCCAAGAGCTAGGACTGAGAAAATGCTCCTATATTTCATAAAAGTACAGTTACAGTACAGGCCCCTAAAGGCAGTTAAAGAAGAACAGTATCGATATGAAAAAAAAGGCGCGCGCACTCACGCGCACGCAGCATCCGTCTTGTGCTGCCGTGGCTGCTCACTGTTGAGCCAAGTGTTGGGGGCGGAGTTTTCCAAACAATCCAGCCAATCAGCGTCACCCACGACCGGTAATTGGAGCGTGCTGCTCTGCCGTGGCTGGACTAAGGGCAGCAATGCATCTCTGCAGCCAACACATGGGAGTGCTCAGAATCAAGGGACACTTTAGTTCAAACAACACCAGCTGACGTCTGTGGGATACAACGACAGAAGTCCTGTGCGATTTAAACTCAACCATGGTTTCCATTGACCATGTAACTCACAAGTTATTAACTTACATCCCGTATGTCCTTGTTTTGATTGATATGCGTTATGAAGGTAGGAGGCTAACTTGCTGTACTTTGCTATAAGTTTCAGATAGTTAGTAATTCGCTTCTTACCTTTGCCACTAACTTGACCTTTGGTCATTCGGAGGACCTGGTCGGGGTAAACTGACATATGTCAATGGCAGTGACAGCCTTAGCTTGCTAAGTCGCTAGCTGTGTTGGCTAACGTTATGCTAGCTAGTCATAATGTTTCAACTCATTAAAGTATTTTGTCCATTCTTTTGAATAATGTGACTGAATGAATCAATAAAGTGCTTATATGGTAACGGTAGTTTCTCGTGTCAGTCGACTTCAAGGTAACTAAGCTTAGGTTTACTTGCTACTTGCTGTCACATTGCTGGGATTTAACAGCTACATGCGATCGATTAGTACCGTAGGTTATTAAAATAATAACTCAACATCTCGGTCCTGTACTTTGGCAATTCATGGCGATATTTAAGTGCACAGAACAGTGCGAGGATTATAACACATGTTTTTATATGTGTGCATGTTTTTTAGGAGTTAAATGTGGCAAGGATGGAAGTGTGGACAATCACATGGAGATGGGGAAGAAACTGCTCGCTGCTGGTCAGCTAGCAGATGCCCTGTCTCACTTCCATGCTGCTGTGGGTGAGTAACAGAGCAGCTTAGTTTTTATGCCACGAAGTGCAATTTTGGGGGAGTGAATAAAGTAGTAATACTAACTTCTTTTGTATTTGTTTTACAGATGGAGATCCCAAGAACTACATGGCGTACTACAGGAGAGCTACGGTGTTTCTGGCTATGGGGAAGTCAAAGTCTGCTCTGCCAGACTTAAGCAGAGTCATTGAGCTCAAGCCTGACTTCACATCTGTGAGTTATTTTTCAGCAGGTGGTCTAAAACTACCTTTAACACTGTTATGGGGAGGACTGCATATTCGCTTCGGCAGAATTGTGAGAGAATGCTATATTTTCGTGCTCATGGATCCGAGTTTGTCGCAGCTGTGGTCACAGCTGTGCTGGGAATTTGCTCATCTGTTTTGATAAGTCTGCATTTGCAACGATATGCAAACTAAGCTTTAGCGTTTCCTCCCCAGGCACGCCTTCAGAGAGGAAACCTACTTCTGAAGTGGGGAGAGCTGGATGAGGCAGAGAGTGACTTCAAGAAAGTGGTAAGTTCAGGAATGTTTTTAAAGCAACAAGACTCAGGAAGCAAAGGTTCACCAGGAGGTGTCAGTGTTGATCTGTGGCCTGGTTGGGATGTGAAACTTAATGGAACATGACAAATAGATGTTCAAAATTATTTGAAATGAACACGGGGATGAAAGACTGATGGTTTTCTGGATTTGGAGTTGGAGCCATTGCTGTTGATGCTTGAAGGGAACGATGGAAATAAATATAAATATTCTATATACGCTTACCGTATAAAGAGTGCATGTTTTTTAGAAATGTACTTTATAGTCATTCATATTCGCGCTGTTTTGTACATAAAGTTTGCTTGAGAGATGGTGGATTTAAAACAAATCTCAGTGAAACTAAAACAGGAGGAACTTAAAGCTTTATTGATCCATGTATTTTTTTTCTTTTCTTTTCGAGATGGCAACATTTTTTCAGAACAAAAATCCTGAGATTCCCACTGTGAAAATGAGACTTTCGTCAGATTTTTCTGCCCGCGTTGCTGTGGTAATGACCCAGTTGTCAGTACTGTGTATATGTGGAGAAGTGAAGGTGACTTGGTGGCCGGTTGGAAATCTTTTGCTTTGGAATGTTCTTCTCATTGCTGTCTATCTGGATTTAATGTAGCCCTCCTGTTTAAATTCTTGAGTGAGTCAAAGAAAACATCAAAATAGAGTTGGAGCAGCCATATTGCCTTCACTGAGTACATCTTTAGAAGTCCATTAGAATTGCAGTTCAGGCCACCTCCAAATGTGTTTTTGATTAGATTAACACAAATAATTTTAATGGGGTCTGCAAGAGGCAGCTGAGGGACACTTTAATTTTTCACCAGAGGTTTAAATATCTGCTGGCAGTCTGAGAGAAGGCTTTTTTACAAACAGTGCTGAGGGGAACACACAGTTTGAAAGCTCCATCACCAGCGTTTTTACATAAATACTGATAGTGTTATCTATGCATATAGGTTGGTAGTGTCGGGGCAAATGGGACCAATTTTCTTTCTGTTCTAAAGATTGGATCTGACAAATACATCTGATATGCTGGCATTCAGAGCACAGGCTTATGTTCTTTTTCCACGTGGGAATGCAAAGCAGTGAAGGCCTTTGTTGTTGCCAGACTGTAGTCACATGTTTAACTGTGTTTGTTGTGGACTACACATACACCTCCAGTTCGGTTCAGTCTCAACTGGTTCCTCCGTAGGTAGGTCATTAAAAGCTAGAGGTAATATAACTAACACATCTAACAGCATTTCACTTGATGCTTTTTGGTGATTGGTTCAGAATGTCCTGTTTGAGAGGCTTTAACATTGAACTACAGGATGGACATCTGTTTTAAAAAGTGAGAAACTGAAAGATCTGTGATGTTAGACCAGCTGAGATGCAGAAGAGCTGTGGTCTGGGCCGCAGCAGCGTTGGGTGGACAGCGTTGTTGTATATAATGTCAAAGAATTTGGCCATAGGTGCAGCCTGCGCTGCTGTTTCAGCAGTCCATGGCTCTGGTGCAGCCTAATGCATCACGTTTATGCTCTTCCCTACGCTGAGCAAGCAGGAAGCACTTAAAGGGTTATCAGGTCTTCTTTTTTTTGTCAGGAATGTCTCGTGAGCTGAGATTGCTCTGGTAAATCTAATGACTTCTATGATGAGGATGATGACAATGTAATAGGTTTGGGAGCACAGCTGTAATAGGAACTGCTGTCAGGAGGCAGAAGTTGGCTCGGGAATCCTTTTGGAAACGTTGGAGCTCATGCAGGAAGGCATTGGTGAGACTAGAAGAGTTTATGGGCCTGGTCTGCCATCTGCATGTTTCATAGTCTACCCCGTCTTCAGTCTTGTCTTTGTTTTCTAACTGGTGCGTTACTTTTAAACACAAGTGAAAATACCTAATGTAATCCATCGCCTTGAAATGTTCCAGCTGAAGTCCAACCCCAGCGAGAAAGAAGAAAAAGAAGCCCAAAGTCAGCTGTTGAAGTCGGATGAAATTCAGCGGTTGGTGGCTGAGTCACGCAGCAGCTTCAACAGCAAGGATTATGTGACAGCTGTAGCCCAGCTTGACACCATCATTGAAGTAAGAGCCATACCCTGTCAGTAATTACCCTGCAAGCATGACATTGTCCTTGTTTTCATCTCTACAGAATATAGACGGTACTTGATGAGCAACGGCCATTTGTAAGAGTCTTTTTTTTCTTCTTTTTTTTACATATCACAGACCTGCATTTGGGATGCGACATCCCGTGAGATGCGAGCGGAGTGTTTTATTCAGATGGGAGAGACGGGGAAGGCCATCAGCGACCTCAAAGCTGCATCCAAGTTAAAGAATGACAACACGCAGGCCTTCTACAAGCTCAGCACCCTCTACTACAATCTTGGAGATCATGAAATGTCCCTCAAGTAAGAGCCACATACAGGCCATGGTCCCTCAGGAAGTTCATTTTGAGCAAACTCGGTTGTTGGTGATCAGAGTAAGTGTGAAGTTCATCTGAAGGTTATGGGGAAGCATTCTCCGCCGACTACCTCATAAACATTTTCGGTACGATGTGCATTATTATTCAGACGGTGGCCGCCCTTCACTGTTGGATCTCCGTGAGATTTTGTTGCCTTGTTATCACCCTTATCAGAATCTCTGTATCCAATTTTTATTAGTGGCCGCATCCTGATCATTTGTATTCAGCACATTATTACTTTCCTGTGTTGTTAACTTCGATATGAACAGAATGCCAATCATTAATGCTTTGTGTGGCCTTGTGTGGGAGATACTATACATTTGGACTAAATAAAACTGAGAAGGGTAAACAATTGGATTTTATTTCAAAGAGTGATGACACGGTTTTAATGAACAGTTTTAATATTCCTCTTTCGTGGAGCCCATTAAATATTGTCTATTTAACTTTACTTCCTGCCAGGTGGTAATGCAGCACAAACATCAGGTGACATTGTAAAGATGCTTTTTTCTTTTCTCACCCTTGTCTCATTTGATCTGCAGTGAGGTGCGGGAGTGCTTGAAGCTGGATCCTGATCACAAGCAGTGTTACAGCCATTACAAACAGGTCAAGAAGCTCAACAAACAGATCCGGTCAGCAGAGGAACTCATCCAAGAGCAGAGGTACGAGGGCCTGCTTGGTCCTTTTATATAACGAAGCTCCACTTAAAAAAAGGAGAAAGTTCTGATTTAGGGTTAGGTTAAGGTAGGGGCCAGAAAATGAAATAAAAGTTTTTCTGTCTGTTTGTGTGTGCTTAAATGCGTCATATTTCTGGGGTCTAGATTGGGTTTTCTACCACAGGTGTGTCTCTTTTGGTCCTCTCTTACTCACTGAACTATGTTCAAATAGCTGTTAGAGGCTCGGGTTTGGATGTAGAGTGGTATCTGGTGATTAAAGCTACTGCGGAAAGCCTTATGTCTGATGCTATCTTTGTAAAACAAATATATTTCTATGTGAGGCACTTTATATTCCCGTTGAATAATGCAAAAATATTCCATATGAGCTCCCAGGAGTTACAGCAGGTGCACAACAGTTTTTTTTTTTTCTTCAACTCTCGCTTTCGTGGTTTTACAGACATACTTTCAAACACCATCTCAATGTGCTTGGGTGTCACATGTAATGTTTGACATGCCAAATGTATGATCTTCACCAGCTCAAACAGGAAGAGGAGCAGGACGGTGTGATGTTTGTGAGGGTCGTGATCCATGAAACGTTTTGAAAAAAAGCCTCTCTCCCTGCTGATCTTTTTAGGTATGAGGACGCGGTGAGCAAGTATCAGGCAGTGATGAAGAGCGAGCCCAACGTGCCCCAGCTCTTGCACCTCGCCACGGAGCGCATATGCCACGCACTAGCAAAAGTAAGCGTCTTAACTGTGAGCGGAAAAAAGCTGGTTTCTAAGCATGCCCTCCTGATTATCACGCTTTCTAATGACCAGGACCAGCAGGGGAGCAGGGCCGTCGCAGCCTGCAGCGAAGTCCTCCATTCAGACCCTGAGAACGTGAATGCCCTGAAGGACAGAGCCGAGGCTTACATCCAAGACGAACAGTATGAGGAAGGTAAGACTGCCGCCTGCAGCTCAGCTTTTTGAAAACGGTAAGGGGGGAAGGTGCAATGTTTTTTTTACATTTATTTTAGAAAAGGTTTTTTTCCTTGAAAGCATGTGGATGGATCACAGCCGGTTAATATTTCAGCATTTTAGGAAGAAAGGGTTCAGGAGACAGAGAAAAGAAAATCAGGAATAATTAGTTGAATTAAGAAAAGACAATCAAAGGTTTGACTTCTTAAAAAGAGATATAAATAAGTTAATCTGAGTTTATCTTTTAATCATTTTACCTAAACCCTTTATAGTTCTTTAACTCAAACGTCATCAAAAATCCAAAAGGATTGCTCTTTTAGCTTAATTTGACATCCCCAGAAAGCTTAATTTGATCAGATATTCCCATCATTTGTATTCGAGAAATACTTAAACCCTTCTGTCAGATGTGTTTCTAACATGCTGTACATGTTACATCACCCTAAAACCCCTCCAACATCTGACAGATCAGAAAAGAACTGCATGTCTTCTGAGCTGCAGGAGATGCTGGCTGAGCCCATTCTGTGCGCACCATGTGGTCGTTAAGGTGGCACGAACACACCGGCAGGTTTGGGGGTCAGATCCTATGAGGACCTTTAATGTGTCAGAACACCAAACTAATATGATGTAGGCTGTGCCTTTGTCAAACTAGGCTTAAAGCCCACAGGTGACTGGCGCTTGACATGTATCAGCAGAAGTTGGTCATTAGGCCTCTGGACATTTTTGAAAAGACTAGCAATCAATGGGAGCACTGCCCTGTTGTGGTCTGAGCTACAGCCGGCTGTATGGCTTTTCCTCACCGCTCTCAGCCTTTCCCTTCGCAGCTGGAAAAAAGTTGTCATCAAAAGTTTATCCTGTTTTGTTTTAAAATCCAGCGGCCTACTCGTCAGTGTGACAGTGTGGCCTTTTCTGAAAACAAATGACGGAAAAGCAGTTATGATTGAAGTCATGTGTGTGTGTGTTTTTGCTGGGAGTATTGTTCAGCAGATGATGGCAGTGCCTCATGAAACCATAACCAAAGGCTTTGAAGGCCCACAAGCCACTACAAACGCTGCTCAGACAGCTGGGTGCCTTTCTGTCTGTTCAATGCTCAGTGGACAGAAATGTCTTTATTTCTTTTTTCTATTCTACCTGCTCACCTGTCGTCTGCCTCTGGAACAAGCTAGCTTTGCCTCCTTTTTTAAAAAATGATTCTGAAAAGGGTCCGTACCAGCCGGTTTAATGAATCACCTCCCAGCCTCTGGTTGCATTTAAGTCCTGCCTCCCTTTGTCAGACAGAGATGAATGTATTCTCTGTAATGTAATGCAATTTACCGGAGAGGCATTTCACCGTGTGGAGCTGCTGTCATCGTGCATCACTGTGGCTGGCTCTGCTGATTCTGACACGTCACCAGATGAGATCTCCATTCTTGCTTTTTGGTCACTTAAAGGAGAAAATCTGTTTAATTAAAATGCTAAACTTGCATCTAAAACCAGTATCATCTGCAAACTTCACTGAATCCAGTGCTGCTCTCACAGTGTTGGCTGATCTGTTGATTCCCCCTGGTGCATGTTAAGCATTTTCTCATTCTGTGATGCATTCATGAACCTGGACGTTTGAGCCTTTCCTGGAGTGCGCTGTTGCACGGCAGACTATGTCCACAAGGTCCACCACCGTCAGAGTGCTCTGGTTGAATATGATACTTCACTGATCCATTAGCTGCTTTCAGAGAACGAGCATTACTCATTCTATCCTGCACTCTCTCCCAGCCATTAAAGACTTCGAGGAGGCCGCAAAACACAGCGAGAACGACCGTCAGATCAAAGAAGGCCTGGAGAGGGCCCAGCGACTTCTCAAACAGTCCAAGAAGAGGGATTATTATAAGATCCTGGGAGTAAAGAGGTGGGAACTGATCACTGTTTTTGGTAAATTTTAAAGGCGTTTTTAAGGTTCTGGGACTTTAAGGTGATGTTTTGTAAGTGAGTTCAACTAGAAAGAAATTATCTTTGTTCAGGTTTTGCATTAAAATATTGCTGCTAAAAAGCAGATATTTAAGCCAGTGTCCCATGAGGTGATTGATAAGGGTTTTAGTGAAATATAGAGCTAATCTTCCAATTGTGGTCTTCCAATAATTAAGAACTGCCCAGAAGAAGGAGATCATCAAGGCCTACAGGAAACTGGCACAACAGTGGCACCCCGACAACTTCCAGGATCCAGAGGAAAAGAAGAAGGCAGAGAAGAAGTTCATAGACATCGCTCAGGCCAAAGAGGTTCTCACTGATCCAGGTACAGATTTTGTGGATGGTTTTCATAGTCTGGACGGCGTTTTTGTAATCATGCTTCCATTCTGTCGACATCCTTTCTAAACATCCTCTCTATGCAAAAATGGCCAAAAGAGGGCAGTTTAACTGTCCCCATATTTCCCAACTAATCACACATTACCAGTTCAGCTGTTCGTTATTACAACCCCAAACAAAAAATATAACTTTGGTTACTAATTCAAAAGCTTTGCTGGACTTTGTACTGCTTTGTTAAATTGCTCTGCACTGGTGTTTTTCAGAGATGAGGACCAAGTTCGACCACGGAGAAGACCCCATGGACCCCGAGAGCCAGCAGGGTCATCATCAACACTTCCACGGGGGGTTCCAGGGCTTCCAGGGCTTTAACCCCTTTGGCTCTGGGCCCTTCAACTTTAAATTTAACTTCAACTGAGAGAACTTTTCATCCAGCACAGCTGGAGAGAATTTTTTATTCTTTACTCCCTATTTAAAAGGGAGACCACTGTCATAAAAAAAGTCAGTTCACAATTGTCACAGAATGTGGAGAAAATCATGTCTTTAACTGTCCTCAGTGAGAGATGGGACTTTTTTTTTTCTTTTTTTAAATAATGCAAATTTGAATTCTGATGGGGACAGTCTGTTGCCATGCTAGCAAATTTCTGCCTTGAGTGAAGCAGTTTCTGTCAACAGCTGTCCACACTGACAGTTCCCAAATTATAATTCATCCATTCACACCATTCAATTTGCTCCAAAGTATTTTTCTATGAATGGAGTTTTTCTGAAGTGTAAATAAAGAGCTATTTATGTACATTAAGGTGGATTTAGACTGTTGCTTCACTATGTAGACACGATAAGGGCCTGTATGGGAAGACCGTAGCAAAGTAAGAAGCTTACATCAAAGAGACTGGAGGGTGACGGGTTTTCATAAGAAAGAATCCACACAGCTTCATACCGAAGGCTTTTGTTTTCTCCAAACAGTTATAAACATTTTGATTTGACACCACACACTGAATGAATGCCCTAAGAGCAGCACCTTTTTCGTTTCTTTTTTAAAATGGACTGTTAAGACAGAACTATGGCTGGCTTTAGTTGAACAGCATCACCTCTTATTCCTGAGACAAAAACACTGTTTTTTCATGAAAAAAAAAAAAGATTTTAAACATGAGGTGATGAATTGACATAACTTGTAAACATAATGTAATAACTTAAAATCCTATATACGTTACTGCCCATGAAACATGATCATTAGTTTGAAAATGAGGACTAAGCTTAACTGAAGACCTCCCAGGGACAGACCACCATTTGTAAACCCAACTTCTCTTCCAGCATCATCAGTTTCTAAATATTTTCACCAGATTCTCCTGCTAAAGTTTCTTAGTACTTCAATTATAGTTGGTAAAAAAAAAGTCATGATTTGAGAGTGACACTCGGAAACATTCCTAAAAATGAACACTACAGGATAATAAAATGTCAGAAGAACTGTGACTGGAGGGACAAACATTTACCCAAACTTCCTGCAGGGGGCTGTTGTGTAGGAGGTAGTGATTGTTCCTGAGTCAATCCCAAACTTGCACTGCCCCCGAAGTGTTCCTTACTTGAAAAAAAGATTCAGGCCCTCAGTTAGAAGCTGGAATGGAAACCTACAACGGGGTCTGATTAAACTCACCTGCATTGAACGATTGAGTCAGAGAAGGGGAGGAATAAATGCTTCATGAACGTATAAAAGATACAGAAAACAAGTGGACAGGGACTGGACAGCTGTCAGTGGTGGGTGGGGCTTAAATGGTTGTCTGGGCCTGGTGCGAGTCTTTTATGCAATTGGAGAAACATAGTAACAGTCAACTTCAGTTTGGCATTTCAGACGTAGACGTCCCGACTCCTCTATGATGTATAATGTCAATTAAGAATGCCCCACAGAAGCCCCATGGAACAATTTAACACAAACAAAAGAACTCAGTTAAATATTTAGAAATGTGCCTTCTCCTTCTGATGTTTTGCATGCGTCATCAGTGCAAAATGGGCCAACTGTTTCAAACACACATAATAGTGCTTTGACTGACCCCTCTTTTAACTTCAGTCTCCAATTGACAGTCAGTGCAACATTTCTCACAGCTGGCAGTTAACAGTTATGTCACGTGTCGGTATTGTAAGATCTACTGACTGCAGAGGCAGATATGGGGTCTCCGAAAATATCACACCCTCCTTCTCCGGCTGGGGATGTAACACTCCACGGCTATGTTTAGATGGAAGTGTCTGTCTTCAAGCTTCACAGGTGGCCTGCATGCAAAAGGTGCTGCCTCCTTCCTCTTCAGCATGGTGCTGGCAGGCGCTAAAGTTCATCACGCTGGTTGTCTGCTGTTGGAAAGGAATGCCGAAAATGAGCGCGTCGGTATGGAAGGAAACAATCTGGCCAAGAAAAAGGTTAATCATGCAGAGGGAGAACAGATGGAGCGTACAGTTTGACTAATAGAGGGGGAATATACTGTGGGAAGCTCAATCTCTTCCTCGGCATTAACCTTTTTTCTGTTGAGGGGGGGACGCTGCGTTGTCTTCCCGTCCCGGGGCTTGTCCCAGAGACTGCTTTATCTCGTTGTCATACAGGACCCACTCAGGCACGATGCGCGCCGCGGCCATCAGCTTGGGCTCTTTGGTCTTGGGGTTATTGCACTGCACAATAAAAGGAGAGAGACTGCTTCACTCACGCCACCAGCAGCACTCCGTCTGAACAAGTCCGATCACCACCCAAAGCACCGTCTGTGACGGGCATTTGCACCTAATTTGATTTCCGATTCTGTTAAAAAGACATTAGGCCCTGCCTTCTGTCTGAGTTGCCAAGTGGTGACCTATAGCACAATGAGACAATACTTTCTATTCCAGTCTACTGGAGCCCGTCCAGTAATTCTCTAAATTAGTTTAGGACACTGCCGGATTGCTCTTCAGTTGTCGTCTAAATGCCAAGCGCTCTCACGCCACAATTCAGGAATGCAACAAAGCTGAAAATGAATCCACACAAAAAGGAGAGATAAAAAAAAGGTGGACAAAAAAATTATTTTCACATTGAAATAAGGCAAAATGTCAAATCCAGTAATGACTTACTAGGACTGTGTGTCTGTGAGATCTCTGTATGCAGGTTTAACTCCCACAGCTGCCCAACTCACCAGGTCGATGGTCTTTGCTGTGACTTTTGAGGCGTCATCGCACCACGTCTCGCACCACAGCCACTCCTGAGGGAGAGACTTGATGGCCACCTGGTGGATCATGTTGTTGGGAAGGTCCTGAAAAAAAAAAAAAAAGCCAAAAACAACAAAATGCTCAAAAGAAGAAAAAGAATATTCCTTAAATGTAAGGGTGGTATGTGTAGAGCTGTCGACCTGGTCCAGGTTTGACAGGCTGTTGGGGTCCTGGCTCAGGGCTTGGTACTGGCCTCGTAGTCTGTCCCCAGCTGCGATCTTGCGGAACTTCTTTAAATCTACCACATAAAGGGCGCTGCAATATAAAATAAAAGGTGAAGATATATTATCTCACAGCTAAAAGCTATCTGCGTCAACCATTACTAGGGAAATAGAAAAGGCCCACGAACAGAAAACCGATTTAACATTTAAGGCCAGGAAACACTGGCAGGTAGGTCGGATCCACTGGGTGAACAGCGCTTTGTCAATAGGTCTTAAAAAGTAAAAGCAACCGTTTCTCTGACTTTGAAAGAGGCATCTGTTGAATGAATGATAATGATTCACAGCTGGAGGAATATCTAGTACATTTTTCCTCTTTGATTTGTCATAAAATGCACTCTTTCAACAGCCCCAATGTGCAGGTGATGCAAGGCTGTCTTTTACTTTATTGTAAAGTAAAAGACAGAGTATGTATGTACATACAAAGTATGTATCTTTGCTAAATGATTTTGTTGTATTGTAAATGTTGTAAATGTCCTTCTGTTCTCTGAGGTAGGTGGTATATTTGGGGTGTGAGAGGATCCTCAAATGACCCATCTGGCTCCTCTTTTCATGGACACGGAGCCCAAAGAGGAGAGTCCAGGTGAACAAAGAAAGCAGACCATCACCATGGAAGCACCGGTTATTTCTGTATTGCATTTGATAAGAGTTTTCGGTTTTGTCGAGCTGGCTGTTGCAAAGAGAGGCTTATTGCTTTTTTTTTTTTTTTTCTTCGTGGCACATCTCACTGCGACTGCAGACCAGACTGGCCGCTGCAGAGCTTTCAGAAAGAGAGAAAAAAGGACTTTTCATGTTCTTAAGAGCCAGAGGTGAGGCAGAAATTCCTGTTCTCTGTTCATCCACCGGCTGCCTCCTGATTAGCCATCATGCTGACAGAGACCAGGGGCAGGACTCAGTGTCAATCAATGTCCAAAAATATTCCCATTATAAGAATAAATTCATATATGTTGGACCCACAGCAGCTTTCCCCCCACAAAAGGGCAAAATAAAGATAAGTTGGATGCTGAATGATTAGTGCTACTGCAGCTTCTGTGGAAGTATACCTGATGTGGTATTTCCTGTTTCCAAGATGCGAAGCCCAATACCCGGTTTTCCAGAAGCGGTAGCCGTCCATTTCTCTGCGGCTATCGCAAAACGGTGTGTAGCCATAGGGAGCACCCTCCAAGTCCAAGTCCCTCAGCTCTTTCAAATCCGCCCGGACTATCTGCGCGACAGAAAGGAGAGCTAACGCTGGAGGAAAGTACAGACATGTTTGGGAAATCTTATCAAATCTTCACAGGAGCGATGAGCCCAGCCTGGCTTTAAGTCGCGCAGTGCGGTGCTTCCTCACTTCTGTTTGATCCTCACCTGGTCAGCATCCACAAAAATGATCTTGTCCACAGCCAAGGGGAACAGAACGTCCAGGAAGAGGATCTTGTATCCCCAGATTATGCGCTGCTTCTCGGTCTGCTGGTGGAGCCAGCGGGGCCACTTGTACTGCACTAACTCATACTGAAAGCCATATGACTCTGCCATGTGAGAGATGGTCTCCTAATGACCACACAATAGATACCAAAAAAAGGGTAAATAAATTAAATACAGGTTAGTTTGGGGATTATTTTTTTTTTAGCAATAAAGATATTTGTGGGGAGAACGAACTTCATACTTTGAAAGAAGGAGACAGGTAGTTCTTGAGAAACCAGAACTTCACGGGCGTTTTTGTGTGTCGAAGGACAGAAAGCATCATTATTCTGAAAAGACATAAAATTAGTTTCAAGAATCAGAGCGTGTGCTGCACCACGCAGGGCTTTGGATGGAAGTAACTAACCTGAGAAAGCGCTCATAAAGATGACCGGAGGCCACAGAAAATATGTTTAAAACATCCTCCTTTTTCTTCTCTCCATCATCTTTCTTGGAGCCGCCGCCTGTGATGCTGAAAATGAAACCATGATAAGTGGGGCGTTTGTTTTCTGATTGATGCCTGTTTCTCACACAAGCAGCAATAAATCAAATCTTTACCAGTCAGGCCTCCATGCTAAAGCCGTGGGTAGCAGCAGCGAACAGTCAGATGAGAACATTTGCAAACTAACCAGCACGATGCAGAGGCTGAGGTGTTTTAGATGAATAAAGTGGAAACTGAGGCGGAAATGATGTGGAAATCAACACATTCGACATGATTTGGACAATTCAGCTCCTGATTGCAGTCATCCAGACAGCTGAAGTAGACACGAAGGACGGTCCTTGCAAACATTCAAGCAGCTCTCTATTCTAGCACACGCTTTGTTAATACAAACTGAGGACGGTAGTTCATTTCTCTCAGTTGAACATTCTTAATTGGGCCGAATGCAGTAAAGCCACACGGCTAACATGAGGCCAACGTCTCATATTTTTAAATGGTCTCGGACTTTCTTGGAATTTTGAGTAATCACTGCAGACGATTCAATATTTTATTGATGACTTTATCACGGTTTTGGGCAGAGAAGTCATCAAGCTGCAAACAGTTCTTCATCCAGCAAAAATGAACTATTTGCAGCTTTTCAAATAGGAATACCAATCTGAACAGAATGATTTTGGAGTGTAAAATGGGTCCGCTTTTACAGGTTCCTAAAACGTGTTCACCCACTGAGCGTCACCCACACTGCGAGGAACAATGTCCTGTAAACCTGAAAGCAAGCAGAAACCAATTTTTGGAAAAAAAGGAAAGAAATGCATTTGACAGCAGCTACATGGAAGTAGTACACTTCCACCAGGCTAAACTGTTGTCACTGGACAGATTTTAAATAGAACAGATGGCCTAAAACGCTTTCCTGGAGAGATAACTGCCGTTTGGAAAAAAAAGTAAAATCTAAAGGACACTTTCCACTCTCGTGAACACATTAGCATGCCCTTACGACTATTAAAGAGCAATGGCTCACGATTCAAGGCACATTTAGCGGACAGAAATCAGAACTTGTGCTGCAGGGCAGATGTGTCTGCAGTTACACTGTGTGTCCTTGTCTGTAAGAGACTACTGATGAGGAAAGGAGTGTCTCTCCAACATTCAATCACAACCACAACCTAGGCCTTGGGGCTCCAGGGAGTCATCAGGGACAGTGAGGGCATGGGAGGAAGATCATTGTCTACGTCCTCTAAAACCAACTCTCTGGCACACACAATATGTTAGTCACTTCAACACAACACATATAAAGTGATGGTCAAGAAAGAAATGTGACTTGTGTTGTTTTATGGCTTTGGGAGTGGTATGGTCCATTACTCTGCCTGTACTCCTCACACTAACTCCGTCTCTCTAAAGAGGCTGGCTTGGCCTCTCTGTCGTAGAGTATCTGGCTCCTCTGTAGTCGCCCCACACTGGTGGGGTCTGGGGACATCGACTGCCCGTGACGACTAAGCCAGCCATTATGAAGGGCCTTCAGCACAACAATGGGGGGATAAGCAGCATTAGAGGGTCAGGTGAGAGGCCTTTTTGGCTGAATCATTTGAAATGATCTGGAAGGACCCACAGAGCTCTGGATAAATCCTGAGCTGTGGACGACGCCATCTGGATAAAGCTTTTTTTCACAGCTTCTCTGTCAAATGTACTAACCTTTAAAAAGTCTTATTGGGAAAAAAAATCATCTGAAAATCATCAAGTTTTAGAGCAGCCCCTGAACGAGCTGCTGGAGTACCACAGCAGCTGATGCTCTATCAGCTTCTGTGTGACCCCGATGGCTGTGATTTCTAAGAGCGGCATAAAGAATTTTAAACCTACAAAGTTACCAAAAGCTGTGGGCAGCAAGAAAGGGCAGACAGGAAGGACTTCTCTTCATTTTCCTCTAAGCCTTAGACAGAGCAGAGAGTCAGAATGAAAGGAAGAAATCCCAAAACACATAAGGTGAGGGCGTGAGTAGGAAAACAGGAGAGACCTGGAGGTGAAATCTATTTTCACTCGTTCTCCTTCTGCTCCAAAGAGATGAAACTGCTTTCATACATGAGAGAATTTGTGACAACTTACGGATGTATTAATTCACCTCGCTACATTTTCCAAGAATTGTGCTTTTATCCATCCATTCCTCAAACTATGCTAATTACGCAAGAATAGGTAAAGTAATGTCTGCCTTTGAATTAAAGAATAAAGAAGAGAAAAGAATAAAGATCAATTAAACCTCTTGGCAGAATTATTCGTTTTTTCATATGGGGTGCTGTCATTTTAAGGTCTGACACCATGTTGTAACATTGTGAAAAAATATTGAATGACTTGCACCAAATGATTTCTTTCAAAATATCTTTTCATGAACCACCACTAACCTTAAGCTTAGAGGTGGTAGCCTTCACTGGCAGCCAAAAGACATTTATTCATATACTGACAGTCTGACAAAAATATTTTCCCCAATTGCTGATAAGCTTCAGTTCATTTTAGATTAATTTACAGACCATATTTAGAAACATTTTGATGAAGTTGGAATATGTCCGTCCTCCTGTCCTGTATTCAATTGTTCATCCATTTACATTGATTTATAATTAAGTGTGGTCATTGTCTTCAAGCACATTTGGACTGATATGATATCTGATTTTAAATACAGATCTATAGAACTGTAAATAAAATATGTGTTTATTTATTGCTATTAGAACCATTTATCCTCATTTGACTTTTTAGTTTATGTCTTTTTGAATAAGTTCACTTAAATGAAAGAACTTCGTACAGTATGAATTAGCATTAAATATATTTTTTTTAATTTGATTTTGTCAGATCATAGAATTACTATTTGTGTATAATAAACATAATTCAATTATGCAATACTTGTATTCGTTAAATTATTGTAACTATCAGTATTACAACGTCTTGCAATGTCCACATTCGAGAAATCATAGCAAAAATATGAAGGCCAAAAGGAATCAGTCATCTTGTCAGCTCTATCTGGTGCTCCCTTGTGGGGTTCCTCCACTAAAACTTCAATGAAAAAATATCCATATCAACTTCATGAAGGAGCTTTTACAGCATTCCACTGAGAAGTTACAGCTGACTCCAAAACAGCCAGTTTGGCACACTACTCCCAAAGCACTTCAAATTAAGTGGTTCTAAGTCCTTCATACAAAAATGTATAAATAATAATAATAATTTACGCATACATTTTATATATAGTATCCAAAACTATTTAGAATTTTTTTAATTTTTTAAATCACAATGATCCCAAAAAAAAAGAATGAATATCACAAAGACAGTAAGCTTTCTCTGTTAAAACAGGCTCGAGCAAAACGTCCTACCTTCTCTCAAAAATGCCCCAAACACTTCACACAGCAAGCATTAAGTGAGGAGACAGGATCACACGGTTAGGAAATGCTTGAGGAAACACTCAAATGCACACACATACCTACAGAAGCACATATTTTTTGCAAGAATAGATCTTACAGCATAATATTGCAGTCTTGATCCAGGGTAGGAATAATATCTTCTGAAAACACAATGTATAATTGACTAATGGAGGCGGCATCAGAACACCATTCAATCAATGAGCTCTCAGTTGTCAGCTGGAGAAGGATTTTAAACATATGAAGGCTAATCAACCTTGAGCTGTATTTGACGTCACCCACCTTGCTATGGACTCCCATATGCCTTTGCTTTGACTAGTTTCACTTAAGAGATCTTCATTGATCTTCTCAGCCTTTTTCTGCACCTAAAATGATAAAGCAGACACACGCTTCAATAGATTTTATCAAGCACCGTCTAAAATGATTGTGACACATAGAGCTTAATCTGTGAAGCCCAGGTGCATCACATAGACGACTGCAGCAGGGCAGTTCGATAACTTCCAAGCACGCTGCAGCATCCAATGTAGAACACATACATCTGAGAAATAGACGCACCCTGACTTTGATGATCTTGCTGTGGAAACTGTTTATCACAACTATGACATCACCGGCATCTGCCGGGGAATCGGTTCCATCATGCCTGAAAATACAGTTATTACAAAGGTGACAAAATATAAATAGAATGAAATTTGAAGCAAATATATACATAAGTGGAAGATGGGTAACATGAATTGTTTTTCCCTGTGGGCCTAAGAGGTTCTATTTACATCACTGAAAGACAAATAAAACAGCCTTACAAATTTTGTTACATAGATTTTATCCACTTTTTAAGCAAAATACGCAAAGCAAAGCTTTTGCCATTGGTTGACTAGTATGTTTTCACCATGGCAACAGGCAGCAAACATTGCAAGGCATGGGCTTTTCTCATGAAGCAGAAAACAGACACTAATGGAGAGTGCGTCCAGTAAAAGGGGAAACTGGGCTAGTTGCCAAGGTCACAACCAGACTATATTCATTACCCTCCATCATCATTAAGAATCACCTAACCATTATTTTGCCCATCACTACTTCCCAGTCATGCCGTATATACTACTAGATTTAATGAGAAAGTCTGTACAGTATTGATTGCATAACACAGCCTTTCAATGTAATTGTTTTAGGACTGATTTGCCCAGCAGACAATGTATTTTGGCAGGCATAATCTGCAGGGTCTAATGCCGAAACACTGTACCAAACGTGAGGGAGAGATGAGCAATTGACTATGATGCACGGGATGCCATTACAGCCCCAAATGCTTACTAAAGGCAAAAATTCTAACCTTATCATGATGATAAATGCCCCCTACTCGGTGGACCTCCTCCCTATGCTCAAGTGCTGCTTGTGTTTTGCCCCCCTCTGCTGTCACCAGCGCAAATCAGCCTTCGGGGCTTGTATTAGAAAGCACCAGAGATCAATCTGTATCCCTGCTCTGAGAGGAGGAGAGCTGGCCAACTCATTCATCGCTGTCAGGGCAAAGCGTAGTAACAACACAAGCGGCGGGGGGAAAATGCACACACTGGGACGGGAGAGCACAGACACTCCCACTAGGCTCTGATCGGCCACCTAACCAGAGCAGAGTGCCGCTAACCACAAGAATAATGACACTGCCAAGGTGAAAAATGACATCACCTTTTAGCTTCACCTGGAGGATTGGGGGATAAATCTTGGTTGTCTGATATGATTCCAGAGGAACCGAGGGCTGTATATGTCCTAAATCTTTTGTGAGGATGGCCAGAGAGGACGATACATGTGATTGTAGAGACATCTACAACGCAATACAGCTTCTATGCAGACCCACATACATTACCACGTGACTAATTTTGTCATTAAGATTTAGGAATACTCTCTCTCTATGAAAATAAACTTTTTTGTACATTTTATATATATCATAGAAGAGTGAAAAGTGTAGAATTGAAAAAAGAATGCCAAGAATGTAAATTCCAGTGCAACAACGCCATTGTAGCCACAGAATGTCTGGTGTTCACTGTTCCTCGAGTAAAATAAACACGCATAAACACTTTGCAAAGTTTCCTTGACACAGACTTTGTGGCACCCCTCACAAAATCAGAAATTGCAGTCTGATAAAAAACACGCAGCAGGTGACCAGCTACATAATCCCTCCTCCATCTTCTCCATAAAAGCAACCTTTTCCACCTACCCATCTATCTCCACATCTGTGCTGAGTAGAAACCCCTGCACTCATCAAAAGTTTGTGTTGCAACAATGTCAGCAGATATCCATGTTGCCATAGTGATGGGTTATATTGCTAGCAGTAATAAAATAAAGAAGGATGGTGAGCTATGACAGCAGCGGCCTAATTAATGTGACTGCCTAAGATTTAGTGAGGAAAACAAGGTCAGAAAGACTGGAAAACTCACGCGAGAATCTGATATATTTCTTCTGATCTCCCTTTCCGCAGTCTTAGGGTCCAGGCCCCTGGATTGGCTTTCAGTTGGAAATATCCCTGTTGTGTTGCAAACATAGAAGTGTAGAAGAAGTGTTTTTATTTCAAACCTAGAACCAGTTTCAGGCCCACACTCATATCATGACTGATTTTAAATCTGATGTAAATGGCCTCTGCAGCACAGTGCTATCAAATCATGGCAAACTATGAAACCAAATGGAAAAGGATGCTGACCAGGTTAGCCATGACAATTGTGTCATACAAGACCAGGTTCTGACTCATGCCCAGCGTAAATTGCAGTCCACGAGGGGGTTGACCGGTTGACAGGTCAAAGCAGTGGCCCTCCAGCAACAGGTGCTCCAGTTCAAACTCTGCCGCCACAACGCCATTGATCTGTAAAGAACCAAAAATTTAAAAAACGTGGGGGAATGAGAGCAGTTGGGTTGTGAACACAAAGATGGATTGGTCGTAGCAACTATGTGCTGCAATACCTCCTGCAAATGGATGTTGTCCAGGTCATGCAGGCTGTGCACTGCCTCCACCATCCAGCTTTCTGATGTGATCATATTTAGGGTGAGGAGCAGCGATTCTGGGAGCTCCATGAAACGGGCAACTGGCCCCGGAGACACCGTCTCATTGGCCAGGAAAGTAACATCAGATTCCAGGACGAAACGGTAAAAACTGTCAAGAGGGCCAAATGATTAGGGACTAAATGTGTTGAAAGAAAAACAAACAGATACCAAAAAAATATGATGATACAACACAAAAAATATGAGAGCGGATATCGCTAAAACGTCACATACTCTGCTGAAACTAACTGCAATAAAAAAGCAACCAAATTCCATCAAATAAAAACTGTCCTCTTCAAAAAGAACTGAAATGATGATATGTTGTTCAATAGTTTTTTATAAAGGACAGGATAGATAGGCCAGCTGTATACATAAGGTACAAGTTCTTCAAACTCCAGACTGTAATACTTGTTTCTGGTGGTATTGCTCTGTAAATGACAAATATGTGTAGGAGGATGTGCAACAAAAATTTCCCATTACCGATTATTACAGCTGTAACAAAGGCCAGCTCTGGGCTGCTCTTAATGGTGGTTGGCTTTATAATTTGAAGGGAGGAATTTCCACTAAATCTTTTGATACCTCTTGAGTGATATGAGAGTTGGAATGATAGCACAGGCAGGCAGTGAAGGAATGGATGTAGTAACAGAAGCACAACCCAGAACACCAGAGGAAACAAACAGTCCTCATTCAATTGGTTCCAATTTGTGAGAGGGAAAATTCTAACCTAGAAGAAGTGTGAGTGAATGAAGTCGCAGTCAAACCACTGAGAAACATAACGGTGAACAAAATTAAATCACTGACGCAGAACAGGAGTCATGTGTTACAACTGACTGCAACATCTCCAGGGGTGGAATATGAGATTGCCAAGCTTGTGGCTATTAAACGGGACATGAGGCAGGGAAGTTGTGGCTAACAGTTTAAACGGAAGGCAGAAAACACAGCATAGTATTTTTAAATGGTACTTTGAATGATTAACAGAAACATTAGCACAACCTACTCCCATTTTTTTGACCATTTTTAGTATGTAATTGGGAGAAAAGTATGTAAAGAAAACTTGTCATTTGGATACATTGCGCTTATTTATCTCACAAAAATGTATCATGTTGCCATTAATGTCATTTACAGGCAGTTTTTGCTCAGGGGCACAGGAAGTGGATGGCTTATGGAGGGGGATGCGTGAGTAATGTGTGGAGGAAAATAAATGATGAAAACAGCAAGTTTATTAATTTAGTGGAGATTTCAGTATATTAATGCTAAAAAAATGACTCAGCCTATTATGGAGCCAAAGTGAATAACTACATTCACCCATGAGTGCCTTACTGTGAATGGACAAATTCAACCTTTGATTTACTATTTTCTATTCATTTACTTATTTCAGCATTGCAAAGATTATTATTGTTCTACCCGCATAGCTTCAACTGCAACAGTGAACACTGTAAGCAATTTACCCAAAGATGCAAGTGGAGGCCCAAAGCAATAAGGCTGTGTTATTAAGCAGATTGCATCTGTGCATTATAGCCTTACAAAGGACTGGGGTGAGGGAGAGATGCTATGAGAGAGGATACACAAACCAGCCAAACAGGAAAATTTAATTACTCTTTGAGCTAAAGCTTACCTCTTGAGGGGCATCTCGGACAACTTGGCCCTGCAATTCAGAAACAGCTGCAGTTTCACATTGACCACTTGACTAAGAACCTGCAGGATTTGCAGAGAGAGAGACTCAGTTAGGAAAGGGAAGTAAAGAAGAGCTCTGTGCAGTTTGGAGATGTAAGACACAATAGGCCTTGTTTGTCCCCTTCCAAAATGGCAAAAAGAGAACGACTGACAATTGGTCATGAGTCAAATTCTTTACAAATATATGAAGTCCCTATTTAGCAGAAAGTGTGAGGTAAAAAAAAACATTCCTGTTCTTATATAAGTTTTACTTACTCTGATTTAAAATAAAGGTGAGCATGGAGAAGTAATGCTAGAAAAACACACCAGACATTATCTGTCACTTGAAGAAATACTTGGAAGTAGCAGCAGAAACAGTTAATAAATGAAACTTTCATTTAAGCCACTCAGCGGAGGGGGAAAAACATATTTCCCACCAAGGAAAGCTTTCAGTCTCTAATACAAGAAGTACTGCTTTATAAAAATTTACTCTAGCCTTTTTAGGTTTACTGGAAAACTATGCTATGCCCACTCATAGCAGCCAGTACAGACCACTCAGTGATCGGAGCAACTGCAAAGCTTGAAGCCTGTGAGAATCCAGCTGTCTCACAAGGTGTGCAATTTGGTTTCAATTTGGAAAACCTTCTGCGTTTGTGCTGTATCAAAAATGGAATGAGACGGGTGCAAAAAACAGAGCTCACAATGAGCAGCTGAGATATCTTCTGTGCCTCTCGAGTGAGAGGGTCGACGATGGCCACAACATCATAGAACACCTCGGCTTCACGTGGTGAGAGGTGGAGCACGCTGAGGAAAAGGAGGGTACACACAAATCAAAGGATCCACACTTATACAATGTGAGAAATCATTTCAAAGCATTAAGACTATAAAACGGGATATGAAACAGAAACTAAGAAAAAATGCTGACAAAGCCTACCTGTGGCTGTCTTTGGTAAAATGGACGTCTCGTCTGACCTCTCCCTTGGGGGCTGAATTAAGGAGAGCATCGACTTTCATAACTAAGTCGCGTTCACTGGATGAAAAGAGGTCACTGCATTATACGATGAGGTTATTTGGGAAGGCATACTTGTATGGAGCTCAACTAACAGACTTGTCAAATAATTTAAGCCAAAAGAGATTCCAAAAAATGTTAGAATTTGTGCATGGATTTCCATAAAAGATGCATCAATGGAAAACACGTTTTGTTTTGGATGATGAGGATGAAAAGAATACAAACATACTGCTTTGGCTTCATCCCCATCTGCTTCACTTTGGCTTTGACTTTCTCTGCTGAACCACTCAGTGTAATCCTCTCAAGCAAGTGGAAATCCTCCAGAGTGAATTCTTCCTGCTCTTCAAACAGACCGAGGATCTAATATGAAGAAAATAATGCAGTCAGCATTCAACTTCTCCACTGTTTATCATGGTATGCATCATTTACAACTTACCCATGGGATGTAAAATGTAATGTGATCGCGACACAATGTTTTAGCCACTTAAAGTCAGTAATACTGCCTGATATTTATCCAATTTTTATTCTGGGAGAGGAACCCTCCCACTGCAGCAGAGGCATGTAAGATAATATTAATTGTTACTGCCATCTCAGTGGCTGGCCTCCTCAACCCTGGCTGTCAGCATTGCTACTGCTGAGGCATCAGTCATCAGCTTTGCACACACATACACACACACACCAAAAGCACAGATGCACACACCGCTCGATGTACGCCACCTGCGACCTTTGAGAAACAGACATCATGCCGATTTGATGGTGCAAAGAAAGCATTCTGAAATCCTAGAGGGAAAAATCCTCCCAAAGTGCAGCTGCTCGGAGGATCTAAAAACTACTCTGGCAAAAAATATCTGAAACATTTATAAGGCTTTGATTTGCTGACAATTTAAAGTGGTCTATTAAACAGACAAATGGAACAAAATCAATATTCTGAGGCTGCAGTAAATGTAGATGAGACAGAGCTGTTATCAAATAGGGAGTAGGTATATAGTGTAAAGTTCAAAACAATTCCCAAGTTATAAAAAAGTAATTTTGCCATTAAAATGACGTGAACTCATTAAAATAGAACCTAACATCATGTGTAATGTTTTTAGAACTAAAAATGCATCAGAGCATCTATATGTGTAGCTTTCTGCACAATTAGATGGCTAAAAGCTGTCATTCAAATCATTGCCATATGTGACTTCAAGGCCTCTTTCTGTTCCTTACTAAACACCTACAACAGTGATTCAAGGAGAAAAACCCACCTGACTAACGTGCCATACGATCATGTTTACACTGAACAGAAGCAGCAACATGACATTACTAAAAGTGTGTTGGCTCCATAAACGGTAAGTCAGCTTTATTAAAGTGCTGCAGAACTTTGTCAACGTGAAAACTATGCAGTTCTGACCTGTTTCTGAGGTACACTGACATTTGTTGTTCACATTCCCGATAAAAATTCCCTAGGGGCACACTGGGAGCTGAGATACCGCAGTTTACGACTTCCCAGCACCAAGTCTTTTCCCACAAGGTCACTTGATGTTTTTGTGGGCTATCAATGACGCCTTATTTTGCCTCTTCAGTCTGTGCATTGCTGTACCTTTGCAGGGGCTCACACGTAAACTTGAAAGGAACTTTTACCAAATTCTTTTGTGTTGTTTAAATGGAAATTAACCATAAGCTACAATAACCCAGCATTAGCAACATCATGTTAAATAAAGTAAATGTTAAATTACATTACTGTCACTGGCTATTAAGTTGAATGGAAATCCCTCTTGTTCAAATCATTAGATGATTTGATAGAAGTAGATACCATTCTGCCACTAATTGGACGGCTCTTATGTAGTATATTTACAAAGTATATATGTACAGATTACATATACTGTAAACAATGAGCAAATTACCAAATATCTGTGATATAAAGTTAAACTACCGTAAGTCAAAGCAGCTGTTTCAAAATTATGATTGCAGTATTCAAAATTATTGTGATAATGTGCTGATATTAGGTCTTGCTTGCTGTGCCTGCAGCAGGATGAGGCAGAAAAGCTGTGTCGCAGAAAGGGAAAAAAGATTTGCTCAGGTTTCTAGAATCTGTTGCTTAAAAGTTATGGTTCAGCTCAATGACCACTCCTTGTTTGTCGATTTGGTTTGTGCACATTTAGGGAGGAAATGCTAATGTAATGTGTCTGTGAGAAGAAACAGGAGAGGCAGGAGATGTGATTCATGGTAATACTTGTTTTTTTTTTAAACAGCATGTGACTAAATGGAAAACACTGGTGTGGTTATATCCTAGTGCTGTTAATGTGGTAAAAAAAAACAAAAAAGTTAATCTTTAGCTCAGATTCCTGTTACACTTGGAGCAAAGTTTAACACTTGGAGCAAATTCAGAAATTCAGCATTTGCTTTTACAAACAGGGTGAAACCTTTTCCAGTTGTTTGGGAATTTGTCTTACCTGAATGTCATAACGTGGTGGTTTGCTGTACACATTTCCCTTTTTTTTGTAAAATAAGAAATGTTTCATTGTCTCCAAATGCTTGATTTGCTTAGAATTATCTCTAGCAAACTATTAATAGTTGGACAAAGGAGCAAGGTCACAAGTAAATGATCCTAAGGTCTAAATAGATGATCACCAAAATCATATGGAATGAGAATGCATACAACTCGCTTTTCGGGGAATCCACTCACCCTGCCATTGATGATCACTGCCCGTTGTCCAGGAAGGAGCTTCAGGACGTCTTGACAGAACAGCTGCTGACTGTGGATAAAATCAACTTCCAGCGTGTTGAATTTTTTCTCAAAGGCATCTACATCCATGCCCTGGAGGAGAAGAATAAAGGATTCTTTAGGATATTGGACATGGTTACTGCCTAGCTTGAGGACATGTCTCCCTCTCCAGCAAGTCGAGGAAATCAAAAACATTCTGAATGAGGCATTGGCATCAAGAATGATGTATGTGAGTCATAAAATTATTGACGCCTAGTATCGGCACAATCACTGCTACCTTCAAACCCAGGCTTTGGTGAAAAAAACAAAAGGAAAAATAAAAGCATTTTCACCAGACAGGCCAGAAATGCATGAGCGAAAAATAGATCAATCAATTTGTAGTTAATACAACAGACTCTTAATTAAACCCCAGCCATTTTTGTCTATAACAAATTGGGTGTTGGAGTGTATAGTGTATGTGGCATCAGGTTATTAGTTTCTTCCACATTTCACTCCTCAGGAGATCGGGCGAAACACCAATAATGTCAGCACAATCCAGTCAGCAAATCTGTCTGCCAGCAAATAATAAACTCCTATCCCTTGGCTTTGGGTCTCAAATCACAAAGCTGCTTCTCACCTATCTTTCTACTGCTGTTTTCATCCCATTCTCTCATCTTTTGTTTGAGGCTTTTATAACTGAAGGGAAGTTTGCAATGCATGCATCATCTGGGCCCCACCTCAGGGAAGCTCTCACATAAGCTGTGTACTGTATTACTTACTCCTGTTGGGAGAGAAAGCAGTCCCTCAGTCAACTGATTTGTGGATCGGATGCTGAGAATTTTCTTGCCTTTGAACAGAGCTGTGTGGCAGAACAGCACGGGGAACACCAGTGGCCGCAGACTGCTTACAGCAGCAGAGTGATGGTCAGGCACGGCTGAACATACGTAACTCACACAACGGCGAGCAGGAGTTCGGCTATTCATCAGCCCCAGGAGACCGGCTGTACGGCAGCACTTTTTAGTTAAAGATGCATCGTGTGGAGCCTGCGCTGTGATGGCCTCTGTGACATTTCAAGTGGAACTGACAGTGAGCAGACTGCTCGCTTGGTGCGGAATAACACTCATGCTCTAAATGTATTCTGTTTGCTGATGTTCAGGTGGGAATGAGAAGATTGGCTCATCAATCACAATTTTCTCAAACTGCGAGCATAGAGCAAGAAAGCGGGGTCGCACAAAGCTCTGCATGTGGTTAAAACCAACCAACGACAACATCAGCTGTTGATTATGTTAAAATAACCAAGATGCCAACTTAAAAATCAATTAACTTCCTGTAAGACTTTCCTTACTGCGGGTCTTTCTGTATAATCTCTCATAAAGCATTTCGATGGACCATGAGATGAAGTATTTTTGATACTGCAGTGTTGCATCTCAATGAACTGGACTGTTTAAAGTTCATATTGCTGATTTGAACATTTTACTTCAGTGGAAAAAACTTATCTCCAGGTCCATCAAACAGTGTTGTAGTCTGTAAACCTTTTGGCTGTTTTATTCCTAAAAGCCTTCTCTTTAAAATTAATCAAACCACAAGATATACAGTTAACTATATGAAACTTATAACTCAAACTTTCCGCCTCCCAGCAGAACACATTCAAACTAAGGAGAAGCGCGTGAAGTTTGTGACATCAGGTCTCACAAAAACAATACTGTGCACTGTTCCTTTGGACTAGTGTTTACTCTCCTGCTCGTGAGAGTTGGGGTGCATTCTTGTCACCTCAGATGAAAAGATAATATACAATTTCACAGCTTCCACTCAGAGTCATTCATGTGTTAAACAACAGATAGTAAATTAAACATTTTCTTATCAGCTTCAACTGCCAACTCCCACAATCATTTATGTTTACTGCTTGCGCTGACACACCTCAGCAATTTGCTAATAGGAGGTATCTAATTTCCACATATTCTACTCCTAATTATATTCATGAAAACAGTTCTTTCCCTCTGTCAGGAGGGACAAACATGATAGAAAACCAATATTCTATAAATATGACATATTGGTTCTGGCACCTGCTAATTAGCAAGCACACATTATAATAATACAACTAAATAAAGCATGGAGCAAGTTTATATTTCAGCACATAAGTGCCTGGTTTAAACATTATGAATGTGTTCTTGCAATGCAACAGAGCAATTATGACAAGTCCTGTATATATAATTGTTGGGTTTCACTTAACTGACAACAAAAAAACAACGCAAGCAATTTTTTAAACAAATTTGTCCATAACAATATTCAGTACTGTGCATAATTATTGAGTTAAACCTTTAAATTTAGATTCCAGGTATCAAAATGTGGTCCTTTAAAAGTGCTCTTGAGCAGTTGCTCCAGGGTTTTATGAAAGTGTTTTCAAGTGTTTCACAGGTTGCTTTTTTCTAAGAATTTTCCTTACCTGGACATTATTACACTGGTTGTTTAGCCATTTAATCATTTAACTTTAAAGAACTATCGGTGGCAATTTTTTCATTCGGACAAAAGACCAAAGGTAAGTTTGTTAGATGTGGATCAACTAGTATTTCTAGCTTCAAGGTAATTTAAAGAGCTATCAGTGTGCAGTGTGTCCTTTAGAAAATGAGAAGAAGGTGAACAAGTGAAAGATAAAAGAAAATGTACAATGGCAGAAAAACGCACTTCAAAATAATACCAGAAAGTGATGTTTTCTAAGAAACAGCAAAAAAATCCAACAGAGATCTGACAGAAGAACGCAGCGGCGCATCTGGCCCGTCAGTGGGGTAATCTACAGTTCGCCAAATTCTCATTAGAACGGTCCGCACAGAAGGGAGCCTGTCAAGAAACCATGCTTAAGGAGGTGAAACTGAGAGAAAAGCCTGGGATATTCCAAATGACACAAGAAGTGGGGTCTTTGCTACAAAGTGGTTTAATAGGCTAATTTCAAGTTTAGCTCTGGACTAGGAAACCAGTTTACTTCTGGTAACAAGCTTGTAAGAATTAGGTCCAAAATCAAAATCAAGCTATATTTTGAGAGAGGACATCAGCACATTGTAAAAACAACAGCTCCCAACCAATACATTTTCTCAGAAAATGATAAAAAAACAACACTGCTTTGATGGTGTTCACATAAGCATTTAAAACAGCTGGATACAAACGTAACCTAGTAAGCCTGAAACCCTCTTGCATTCTTTAAAAATATATATAAGATCTAGCATTTGGCAAAGTAGATTGATTAATTCACTTTGTCAACCACAGCAGTTTTTTTAATTCACTTTGTCAACCACAGCAGTTTTTTTCCTTTTAGGTGAAGTTTAGTTGCTATGATTTCAGGTCGTGGACTGAAAATCAGTAGCAACAGGTCTGCTTTTATGGTGTGGAAGTAATGGGTAATATTTGAATGTCATGACTGAGGAAAGTTCGACAGGATACCTTTCTACAATATGACTACATGAGGTCATATTATTCCTATTATTATATAATGAGAAACTACACTTTGAGTGTCCTTCAAACTAAGATGAAAACTGTTTGATCAAAACAAGGCTGGTTATGCAACCGGAAAAGCATTTGTTTCCATCTTAGACTTCTTACAATCTAATCCAATTATGAATAATAAATTAAAAAATACAGTTTTATCAGGAAGTATGTGCTCTGGCTAGCACATATGAATCGTTCTAGTTGGAACTTTGTCAGATACGGAATTAGACTTACTTTGTTTGATATGTAAAAGAAGTGCAAACAAAATCCAAAGAACCTTTTTTTCCCTCTGAAGTAACACACACACAAAAAACAGAACTAACTGCATTCCTTAATCCCTTCCTCACCTGCATCAGTAAGTCCTTCATCTTGGTCCCCTGCTGGAGGAGCTGGCTGCTTTCCTCTTTCAGGAGTTTGTTCACAAACTCTGCTGCAGCCTTATTCTTCTGGGTGAGAAGAGAAGCCCAGACAGCCCTGTACAGCACAGTGTTATCTTCGCAGGGCTTTCCACTGGGGTTATCTATCACCCCAACGCGCACACCACGACTCGACTTCTGCTTACACACACAAACAACAGTAAGACGATTCACACTTAAACCACAGATTTCATATATCCAGCACCCACAAATGTCACGGAGGACAGCAGTAAGAGAGCGTCATTATTTAAAAGGAAAAGTTTCTTCTGTGAGTGTTTCATGTTTTTGGACTGCACCGTAGTGATTTTCAGTTCAGCCACTAGTTTGTGTCAAAGTCTGTCTAATATGAGAAAACATTACATTTTAGTTTATCCAAGAATAATGTGTACTCACCACATGTTTAAGAGCATTGAGCAGTAGCTTTTTTCCAGAAACCTTCTCAAAATCTCCAACAATCCAAATGGTCACAGCAGTCATTCCATCCTCATCTAATGTAAAAGAATAAAACCACAGCAGCAATTAGTAGCCTAAGCATCACTTCTTCACATGCAAATAACATGGATAAGGTTGGCATGGAAACACCACAAAACTGCCACAGTAGTTTCACCTGAGCATTCATGCTTCAGCTTTCCATCTAGTCCACATCCCAAAGATACACAACTGAACAGATATATGGTGTCTATTGGGGCAAATAGCTTTCACACAGCACATTCAAAGTTGGTGGTACCTGAGATAACATGTGCTATGCAGCATGGCGTACGGTCCAGCGGGGTGCATGTATTAGAAGATGAGTAGACTGACTATAAAGGGACACACTAGTCTTTAGTAGAAAAGCAGCTGCTGTCTTCTGCTGCTGTAGCCCACCCTGTTCAATGTCTTATGGGTTCTGTGTTGATATGTTATTTTCTTCAGTGCATGGCTCTAAGGCATGTCTAACTGAGCACCTGTTATCTGTCCATTCTCTTTGACAGCACATTTGTATTGCAGATGCTGTTTGTTATGTATTTTTTAACACAAATTTCAGTCAAATTTGTGGACGAATGAATATAGAGCGCATGCGATTATGTTTCCAAGACTTTTCATGCCATTATTAGAGAAACTTAGACTACATTTCCCTCTCAAACCTCACATCAAATTCCAATAACTTTTCAGGTCAATAATACCATGTATTGAGTGGTAAAAAGGCTGCATAAACAAAATGGTAAATATTTCATTGGAGCATCCGGCATTTTTTCATCAATTCTATCTCATTCAGCCTGCCAACCTTAATGGCTACAGAGTTTTTAAATGTATATTCTTAAAAGGTTTGATTCTGGTTCCAAAAACCTGATCAGATTACAATGGGAAGGATATCTGATGCAGTCATCAAAGAGAGCATTCGGTTTATGTCAGACGCTGAGCCCCCAGGCAAAGAGCCAAACATATTACAGAAGTGCTGTGCCACCTCTCATGGTTATTCTCACCCCAGCCACTCAGTCAGATAAGCAGGTGCTTGGTCCATTAGGAAGTCGACAGAGAAAGAATAGGAATCGCCCTTCTTATCTCCACTACGGCTAATGTTTGGATCTGAGCAGTGTAAACCAGCTCCGAGGACCTTAAGGCTGGAGGATAAAGGCTATTCAGAGGAGTCAGCTATGATCTGATGCAGGCACAACCTGCTTGCAGTCACAAACTCTCAGTCAAGTTTTCATACAAATGCAGAATAGTGTAGGAATAATTTAGTTTAGATGTGATTTTACAGGTATTCAACAAATAAATGTCCATCCTGCCCTAGACTTCCTTCCAGTTGAATGAGCTTAAAATTCATCACAATGGAAGACTCTGAGATGTATCTGCATTAGATGGCTGACGGTGCTGATTTTGTCCACAAATTATGGACCTGACATCTGCCAATTTCCCATTCCACTATAGAAAAAAATGTGCAACATTAACTGTACTTTTTGGGGGAAATCACTGCTACAAGTAAGCAAGACAATGTGAACTAATCAAAACAGTATTTAAAAACAAAATCAATACAGACACTTCTTACCACTATTGGTGAAGTACTTGATTTTCTTAGCTACCACAGCTGTTTTGTCTCTGGAATCCAAGAATGAAAACACAGTTGTGTCTTCCCAGTCATCTACAACTGCAAAAGCAAAGGAAGAGAGTATGGCATCAAAGGAATCTTTGACAGTAAATCAATGCTGGATGGTCTAAGATGAGAAGCAAAGGTCACCTGGTGTGCCAGTGAAGTCAAGGTACTTTCGGTCAGTGCTTAAAATAGTCGGGTTCATCCTGGGGACCACGTTAGCTTGTTCCATTAGATAGTCCACCACATCTGAGCTCTCGGTTAACTGTCCCTGTGAAGTCAAAGACCAGACGTTTCGCAGACAGGATCAGTTTATAAAAATGTTCTGAAGTACATTCAGTACATTCACCACAATCATAAAATTTTTGTTAACGAATGCGTCAATTAGGAAAGGGGCTGCAGGGATATTTAATTGCAGGTTACAAGGGAGTAACACTGCTGTTGACAATCCATAACCCTTCTTAGTGCATCTTGGGTAAAGAAGCCTCTGACCGTGCACACCGTTTTTGTTCAATCATTATTGCTTTAAGGATGTGTAATGTTGTGCCTGCAATGCATGCAGCCTTTAGTGCGGTTCACACCTGCCTTTTAATTTTTGCTGAGTCATGAATCTAAATTGTCTACTTGACAATATAATGGGATTTTAATATGAAGAGTGATCTATACCATAAAGACGGCTCTCTGAAAGGCAGTTGTGGTGTCCATTATGCGCTGCAGGATTATGGTTTCCAACTCCTCTGGGTCCATCTCATCTGGGTTCAGGGGGACTCCATTAAATAAAGCCAGAGGCAAGGCACCCAGGCCACTCTTTCTGTAGAATAAGGCACCGTCCTGGAGCACAGGAAATTAAGAGCACTGCTTTGTTTCTCCTCATTAGCTAGTGGTTAAATCATTACAGCTCCAAGTCCCTGTACAAACACATGACAGTTTAGTCTTACCTTTCTTTTATGGTCATATTCAGATTCGACTCCAAAAATCCTTTCAGGATTGGCGTTTGGGTATTTCCTTTTCAGGTAAGCAGTGATTGTTTCAACAGTCAGTGTCTCCCCCACATCCCCTTTGCTGCACAGCTGCAATTAAGTGGAACAGTAGCTCAGAATTGACAATCACTATCTTCAGATGCCTGCCGCTGTCAGCTCTGTTTGAAAAAGCTAATGGCAGGGGTGAAATCCCATTTACTTATCTAGTCAAAAAATGCCTCCGAATACAGGATAAGACAAAGCACAATAAAGCAAAGGACTTCTGAAGCACGAAGAGACGTGTGCTGTCAAAAAACACTTGCTAAAACAGGAGATTTATATATGCGATGTACTTACTGAGACCATAGACAGCACAGCCTGGGATAAATCATACTCGTCTGCAATGTAATTCAGCAGTCTGTAAAATCCAACTCCTGCATCTGTGAAGCCATCAATCTCATCTTTGGGGTTGACAACAAACACAAATCCAATTCTATAGGAACAGGGACAAAACAAGTATTCAATTTGCAGGCGAAATTAGAATCAGTACCTGGTAAAGATTCTAAACACCGAGAGTGGACCACATAAACAGGTGTGGAAGTGTGAGAAATGACAGCACCAACCTCAGGGGGATCTTATGCTTGTAGAAAAGCTGAGCCAGTTTCAACAGTTCAACACTTCCTTCTTGCAGTGGATCTAGAAACAGTACCTGACAACAAAGGCATCATCACCAAACTGCCCCTGTGATGTTTAGCTATTGTTACTTCATTGATAAATGAGGCCTCATCGGTGGGGTTGGGCTTCCTTAGAGAAGAATAGCTATTTAGCTTCACATAGAAAAGTTAATTGAATCATGTAGAGGACTGCATGATACAGCACATGGAGCCTAGAATGAAAGCTCACTCAACCACACACCAAAATGATAAAAACATTTTTTACTGGACATTTTATTTTTAAACACATGCTTTAACAGGTTAGTTCTGTGAACTTAGTATAACTTTAGATTTGAATTTCCTATATCTAAGGTACAGCAGGATGTGAGCGAAAACTCACCCTGTGACATAATGCTGCGAAGCTGAACAGCTCACTGAATGAGATGTTTTCAGAACTAGTCGGTCTCAAAGAAAGTGTCAGGTTTGCGTTATTTTTGGTTGTGCTCTGTTGGAGTCACATAAGCCTTAGTGTATTATAAAGAAAAAACTATTTCAGTGTAAAGCCATTCCCGGGTCTGATAAACACCTAACATGTAACTGCCAAGGAGAACAACTTAGCTCTCAAGTGCTGAGAGCCCAAACCACTCGTTCATTAGACATCTTTACTTGACATTTTTATTGTTCATGTGAACTCACCAGGTTAAAGAAATTACGTCTGATCTGTCGAATAACGCCAGGGAAGGTGGCTCTGAGGAGCTCCTGGACACCTGTTGGCCAGCTGCGGTACAAATGGTCATTCTCAATGTCATTCATCCACTGGGGGAAAAAAAGGGACAGAAAGATAAATCATGAGAAAATGTCAAGAATTTGATTCTGGAGATTTCACTTAATTTAATTTATCTTAACTTAATTTAAGAGGCTGGGCAGAAAATGTCTACTTAGATACCATGGATGGTTTGTATTCTCACATGTCTGCTCAGAAAAGCTGTTTCAGAAGTTGTTAAACACTTCCGAGGTGGAGTTTCTTAATTTAAATATAGTCAATGCATGTATGAGAATTTTGTGCACGTATAGACAGAAATACAATGGCAGAGATGAGCACAAAGCTGTTGCTAAAGGCCTGCACACAAAAACAACAAAAAATGAACACATCTTAATTAATCAGATGTAAAATTATGTAAAAAAAATGCATTACTTCAGGCAAATGTGTAAACAAAAGCAGTCCTGACATACACTGATACATTAGTCTAACACTGATGTTGGATGATTCTTAAGAAAGAAAGGTTTTTATAGATACTTCAGGTTTATATCTTCATCCATATGGAACAGCCTGTGTTCAAAGATAAAGTGATATAAGGTTTAAATATGTTTAACTGTTAACATAAAGCATATCAAAACATTTATGTGGCAATAGAACCAAATTAAATTACAAAATTGTTGATTATTGTTCATTCAAGTCCTTGTAATAAACAGAATGTCACAGTTGGTGACAATCCAAGCGTTCGTCTCCTCCATCCTGCTTTCTGCACTCTTCAAATTTCTGAGAAAAAATACAGACTGATAATAAGGCATTCTGGCTAAATCTGGACAGGCCTGATACTGTCCATACCTAATTTTTACAACACTTCCTACTATCTGAAAAGTTTGAATAGCCAGAGGCAGCAAAATGAAAAATTGGAGGTATGTAATTTGACAACTTTTCTTGGCTTCCTTCCCAGTTTAAAACAAAGATGTTTGAGGCAAGTTTAAGAGTGTTGCAATACCATTCTGACTAATCTAATTTCCTCACCAGCGAAAGCTGATGGGTCAAAAGACATATGTGTTTGACTGGGACTCACCATTATAGCTGGATGTCTTATATCTAAGGCATAGCTGTCAGCCACGGCGTTCAAAGGTAACCTCAGCAGCTTGGCCTGGTGTTCTCCCTTAATCCCCAAACTATGCAGCCCCTCCAAGACCTTGGCCTCTGCTTTTAGGATGTCCAAGATGCTGTAAGTACAAAACAGCTGGTATTTATTTTCAAATTCAGTCAACACATACAGAATAGATATCAGCTACATGGCGGCCAGTTGTTATTCAGTACAATCTAATCTTCTTGCACCAGGATGAGTGCTGAGCTGATGCGCAGGTTTAAGAAAGGACACATCCTGAAAGCCTCTGTTGGGTTTGTACCTGAAAGGGTTGTGAGTGTCCAGATCAATGTGCAGTCCATTGATAAAGAGCTCTCCATCTCCAGGGTGAATGCCAATAGTCTCACTGAGATGCTGAAAAACAAGCACAACATTTTAGTCAATTGTCAGTGAAAGATAATTCAGCTGACGTCTAGTCTTTGAAGGAGAAAAGACGTGTAAAGTAACAAAGTGAAAGCAGTTGACACGGTTAAGCGGTTACAATAAAATCTCACATAGATTTCATTGGGTTTGTATCAGACAAAGTTTAGAAGCTCGTTTTCCTTTTTTTTTTTTTAATTGAGTAATAGTTACAGTGTAGACAAAGACAACCCCAGTCCCTGCCCTGCACTGCCAGGCAGGAACACTTCTTATGATATCACACCTTTTGGTTCTCTGCAATTTCTTTTCTCATTTCCTGCTTTACGGCCACTCTTGTCAGTGATCTGTGGGAACAGTAAAACATGTACAGTCACCATCAGCTTTTACCACATCCCCAGGCACCAGTAAAATGCCAGTTTTAATCTCCAAAAAACCTGTGGGCTCTCAAGATGGTGTGTTTGCAGTCAATTCCCTGTAAACACCGATCTCTTACTCAGCGATTTCTGGTGTTATTACTAGATGCCTGAGCCAGAATAAGAAAACATCAAAAAACCTGATCAGATCTCTGTAAAAACAGATTTATTTGTATTTATATGTATTTCTTGTGCTTCAGTGTACCAGAAGGGACAGAGGGAGTAATAATGATCAAATAAAAAAGGTTTATGATGGACATATTTCACGTGTACTTTAACAAGCATCAGTACTGCCTTGTTTCACACACTGTAACACAGAGGACGGATCTGATATGGATTTTGGAACTGTACCAAATACACTCGACAGTCAGCCAAGGGAAAAGGAAATGAGATGAATTTTCTTACCTTGCTTTGCTTGGAAAGTTCTGACTGAGGTCGCGCATGACCTTCAAAGCATCAAACTTTGGAACAGACATGATTCTAGAAGCAGCCTGGAAACTTAGGTCTGTGGAGAGCATAAGAAAATTTATCAAGCTTCAAATTTGCAAAGACGCACAATTTTACACTAATTAAATCCATTTAAGGACACAAATGTGAGTTTTAGAGTCAATTTCAATTCTGAATGCCTTGTATTTTAATGACTTCCTTCCACTCATCTTGTGATTTTTACACAAGATGACAAGTTTTTTTTACTGGATAATGAAGTCATAAAACTGTGTAGATCATCTGCCCAAGGACACCCTCTTACATTCAATGGAAATGTAATCACGATGAATGTAGGTCTTGACACACCAAAGCCAACCCAAAATAAAAATAAAAAACAAAGAGGCAAAAGTATTCGGTCTTTTTAATGTAGAATTCTGGAGTAATGTGGTGTGCTTAAACACCACATTAATTCTCCGTCACTGACTCCAGGCTGGGATGAATAAACAGAGGGAACGCCGTTAAAGCGAAGCGAATGGACCACAAATCTGTAGGCGTGGAATATTAAACTGTAAGTACAGATGACAAAACCAAAGAAATGGCGGAAGACACCAAATGCATAGTTTGGAACTTGGATCTATAAATAAAAATACCTTTTTCCTTTCTGACTTCTGCTTGGCAGGCAGATGAAATACTAACATAGCATATTTTTAGTGAACTACCACAGGTTTGCTGATATTCATATAGTAAATGGACTTGTAGTTACAAAATATAACACTTTTCCAGTCAAATCCACCACTTTACACTGTAAAGTGCAAAGTGGTTTACACTACACATCATTCACCCATTCATGCACACTCACACGCTGGTGACATTTGGGGACATAAAGTCAAACCACTGACCCTAAATCAGAAGGAACCAGCTCTGTCCTCCTGGTCCACTTGATAATAGATAAACTTCAAAACACTAAAGGACTGAAGTTGTGTCCTGTGCATCGGATTTGAGGCTTAAATGTCTTACCTTGCATTTCCCATACTTTAAGAGGTGCCATATCATTTGTGCTCTCCAGCAGATGCTTGCGAAGCTCACCGAGTTGTTCTTGTAGCTCAGGATGAGATTTTCTTTAGGAAACAAGGGAGGAAAAGCAGAGGAGCAACATGATGCCAGTTCTGCTTTTACTCTCTAAAATAAGTCCTGTGGAAAACATGGCAACCAACAACAAAAATGTGATACGAGAAATTGAAATACAGCACATAAAGTCTGATAATTTACTTTAGTGTTCCAAAAAAGAACCCTTGGACCTCATCATTATCATCCTCCTCAGCATTTGTCACAGTCTTTGAATCTGCAGCGAGAAAGATTTCATTTTAATTGGCTTGAACACAGCATGGGTCTAACACGCTGTTTGATAAGTCACCAACTGACCTTTAACTTTGGTGTCATCCACGGCTTTGTACTCTGTGCTTTTGATGGCCAACTCAACACCATATCCAGATAATAGCATCTTTTGAGGCTTTGGATTCTGCAGCAATTAAAAACAAAGTGATGCTTTGAATGTAAAACAGTGAACAGTTTTTTTGCCTGTAAGTGCATTAAGCACCATGATGGGAGGCATCGACTGCTCCAGACACAGAGCGGACGCCAAACCCAAGCATTCTGACGCCGGAATCCGAGTGTGCCTCTGTTAACGGGCATGGAGCTGCGCTGTCAATCGCTTAAATTTAGCTGATGTTCAGCTGCGTGCGACCTCACAACTGCCGCTGTGTCCACTGAAAGAGCAGACTTTTCAAACCGCATCCACTGAAAGGTACAAAAGGCTCTTTTTGAGGTCACTGAAAGAGCACTCTGCCACACAGAGAAGCAGTTTTACAGCAGTTCAACCTTGACACAAGCATTAGAACACCGTCTCTGTCTGCTGTGTCCACCGCTGCTTTTATTCAACAAATAACTTACAAAAATAAAAAACTTTTATTGGTGCCCTGGGGGTGTCTATTACCAGTCTGTTTTTGAGAAGTCTGCTTATTTTTATCATTAGTCAGTGAACCAATTAATTCAGTAGCGGTGCTACAGTACTTGTTGAAAACCCACTATTAACAAGCAAAAACAAAATAGCCCAAATTTTAATGAATATTAACATTGTCCTTCCCACGACCACTACTATGCCAGAGAAAAGGTACAAAAAGGAAACTCTGACAAAAAAAAACTGTGACCTTTAGAAAGTAGCACAGCTGTTGATTCCACCATGTTGACGATGCATCGATTAATCTAAATAAAAACGACTCTTCCTCAGAAATAGAAACACATTGATGTGAAAGCACAATGACTCACCGCCACAAAATGCCGCAGGACATATCTAAGTGCACCCTGCTCAGCCTTCTCTGACAGCACCTTATGGAAAGATGCAAACTTCTTGGTTCCGAGCTCTGCATACAGGATCGCGACTGGCACATCTGTTCCGTTTACCCCTGGATATATGTGGTCATTCTTGTACAAATACGGTTTGGGCCTGCGAACGATTGAGGATTTTATGAGAGTTTTCAGTCAGGGACAGCAGCAGAAATTTTTAAATCCTACCCTGTCCTGCGCTCAGGTTTTCGCCCTTGTTACCTGCTGGCAGCTGCTTTCAGAAGCTTCTTGATGTCCTTGGAGCTGCAGCTAAGTTGGCCATGGACAGACACAAAGGCAGGGCAACCCGGAGGTGGAGGCTCATCACTGGCTATCTGTTAAAAGGAGAAAAATGTAGAAAATGTTTACAGAGTAGTGAACATACGGGGGGGGGGGGGGGTTAACTATCATGTGGGTTACTTTTGAAAATGAAAGAAAATATGGTCCCTTCATCCCCAGCTGTTAGTCCTCACCAAAGACATTCATTAAGCAATTAATTCATGCTAAATTTCGGCAGCAATTTTCAACCCTCGAAAAATTTATTTTTTGTCTGTATGAATTCTGTTTTTTTCTTAATATTCAAGCAAATGCTGCAACAGGAAGTGGACTACTGCTCAAACTGTCACACAGATGTTGGACTTGTTTGTAGTTTACAACTTCAATTGAATTTAGATCACTTTGAAGGCAAAAAAATACTACTTTAAATCAATTCCCCCTGCTTCAGAAGCAACGTAAACAGACTCACATGATGAAAATGTCAAATTAAAGCTTTTTAAAACTGCAGTCAAGAAAGCCCACAGTGTGTCAGTTTGCTTTCTACTGGAAGAATTAGTTTTTGTCTCATTTAAATAAATCTCAAGTGGAGCATCAATTCTAGGTCTGAACACCACATCTTTACACCAAAATCTCATCATAATCTAAAAATTACCTGCAAATATTAGAATAATAATCAGGTTTTAAAAGTGGATTCTGGATCATTTGTATTTAACAATCTACACAATGATGCTAAATAAACAAAAGAAAGTTTGATATATTTTCATCCCCCCTATGCCGTACTTGAATGTTGTATGACATATGCTTGAATATGTCGTTTTGAGATCAAATATGAGGAAATATGAAAATTAAGTTAAAGTAAGATCTGGTTCAAAGTTAAAAATAACGCACCTGCTGGAACGCATGGACAGCGGGTGAGAATGACCGGAGGGCCAGGGCAAATCTGAGGAGATTAACTTGGAGATCTGTGAGGAACTGGCCCGCCTTCTTAATGACCAAGTTGTAATAGGAGCGCACAGACTCTGTAAGATCAACAATAATAGCAATAATGAAGCCACAAATCAGTTATTTCTAATCAGCTTGATATTTGGTGCAGAAGTACAAACCTCCATGTTTGTAAACGGTGAGTTCTTTCACAGTGCTTACAAACTGCCAGAATTTTTCAGCACTATCTTCTCCAATAAACTCACTAGAGAGAAAATCCAAAAGATTAACATGGCGTGCTTTAACCTGTAACTCTTGGTTAGATCTGATAACAGACACTAGGCACACTAGAGGAGACATTTTACATTATCTGACTACTTTAACTAAAAAAGAGTAATTTAAAATATGTAAACAAATGCATCTTGTGATGGTCCTCTACTCTGCAAAGGTCTAAAGTAGTTGTGGCCCTGTTTCTTACACAGAAAATCAGATGCCATGTAGTCCCAGGGAGTTGTGCTGTACCTTGTTTCCAAGAGGAAAGGTGTCATGCTCCATTTGGCTTTAAGACTGGCTGTGACGCCCTTGGGTGCTGATAAAACGTGATGTATGTTTAGTAGCAGCAGTGACAACACTATAGGGGTTCTCATGTCTGGACGGCACGTGAACCTACGGCGGAAAACACAAAACACACCACCGTCAACACCTCTCCGGCGATTTGTGAGGTCCCAGTCAGTGCCACGTAGTTACTTTAAGTTATTCCCTGAAATAAAAGAGTCGTTAAACCTTCAACTAAATGTCGAATATATGCTCGCAAATTCTGAATGTGGAACATGTTAGTATCAGAAGAGCTGCCACTTCCATGCATTTAGTAAAAATAGCGGTTATTAGAGGCGAAGTTAACCTAGCTTCAGACTTAAAGTATACATGCTCGTGAGGAGTTAGTTCCCGGAGTGCCGTGATTTGAAAAACAGGGACTCCAGGCAAAGGCTGGCTATTTACATGTAGCCACGTACCATAAAGGTAAGTATCTGCTGTTAATTGTGCTGCCAAGAATGCAGCTCTCACCCTGACTCTGATGCTGACCGCTTCCATACAAAGCAAAGGGCTTCAAGTTTGTACTTTAGGAAGCTAGCAGGAACCACGGCTGTCCGGGTCGTATAGAGGTGGCTCGCGCGTTCAAACGTAACAACCTAACACCAAGCAGAGAATAAAAAGCAGCTTTGAAATCCAGTTATTTGTTCTCAGTGTCCATGAGATTTTTAACGTGAAGGAATCACTGACTGCCGTGCATGGCTCAATAAAACCTCAGGAAAATAACGGTGCCTTTCTGGCACATGAGGAGACAGCTAAGCGGACACAAGCTGAGCTGCGGAGCGTTTGTGTCCTGAACACCATGGAATGGTGCTGCCACCGTTTTACGTAATCAGCTATAATGTCTCTGTGTAAAATGTGTCCCCTGAGGCTTCCTGCTGAATAAAATCATCAGAATAAATTTCAGTCCTGATCATTTGTACATAATAATATTAATAATGATGATAATGATAGAAATAACTTTTGATAGAATAATTACCTAACTGAAATAATGATTTTTAGGTTAATCAGATGAAATACTTTAGATGCTCCCCAGCATTTGGAGTTTTAATCTTATGATCCGCTGATCTGCACATTTAAAATGTTTCCTTTCTTCAGCAGGAATTCTGGATCAAATTACTGGGTCATTAAAGGGATTCTGAAGGAGTTGATGACAAGTTGTTAAGGTCAGCTCATCAGCGAGATAAGAACAGTCTATTCGAATGAGGTGAGTTTCCAACATGTAGGGGGCTGGATGAGACTGCATTAACCAATCATTAACTGATTAAATTAGATTTTTACTCTGAAAGCTGTGTCTCGAGGGTGCCTCTTTACGAAAGGGAACAGTTATTGGATCTATGGGAAGAATAATTACAATATTGACCAAATAGATGTTATGTGGTAGAGACTTTTTTGTCCCAAAGAGATTGTTCCACATGTGGAAGCTTTAGGGGTTTCTATATGTACACCTAGTTCATATCAAAAGGCATCTAGGAATTACATTTGTCCTTTGTGCAAAATGAGGTTAAAAAAGGTGAGACAGATTTTTTTTCTCTATTTGGATTAGATGAGACTTGAATTATCTTTATTTTCATTACATATATGCACAGGTACAGAGCAACGGAATACAGTTCAGCATCCAAGTGCAATATGTAGTATTTGTTTGCAAGATAGTGTGGGATATAATAGATATGTTGGCAACAGGGTTTTTTATGGTATATGAACATACATTTTTTAAATGTATGTTTATCTTAAATCAGTGCTGCCAAGGGATACATTCTCCAACAAATGATGTCGATTTTTAGTATCATCTTTCCTTCGGAAATTCTTCTTTTAAATTGCATTAAGATTTATCCTACATATCTGTTTTAGATACCCCCAGGCAGTAGATTAGGCCTGCATGACATCCATGACATCATCAAACAATATATTTCAAATTCTTAAGGGAGCCACTGAGCTGCTTTAGGTGGTCTTTCTCAAAAATGGTGGAGTACTTTCATGACATATCATTTGGAAACTTTAAATAAAGGAACCTAAATAAAATCCCTATGCTTTGAAATTCAGTTTATGGTCAAATAAATTCACTATCATTTAAGAACCTCGGTAAAAGATGAAAAACAAACAAATGACAAATCATTCAACAAAACCCATTTTTAAAATGTAACATGGTTCTCAGCGCCAATAGCCGCTCTTCTCTTTCATCATCAAAGGTCACACTGGAATGAATGGGCTTAAAAAGTTAGAGGAGATTCGATATTTGGTCTGATCTCTTGTTTATGTCAGCGTTCTGGTGTTTTGCGCTGTGTTGAATAAGACCGGGGGATATGTGTGATGGGATGTAGGGCTCTCCCAGCCCAACCACGACGAGAGCAGGACGCGTATTCGTGGGCTGGGATGCAGCGGCGGCGGCAGCATCAGCATCAGCAGCATCCTCCTCTCAAAAGCACTGCTTCAGCACAGCCAGTCAGACGCCTCAGCCCGTGCAGGATGCCGGTGCCTGCCCCGAGGATCCACTTCAACACAGCCAGCCGAAGTGAGTCTGCCACGGAAATGACCCGCTCCGCGCTTTAGACTGCGTGGGATCCGCACTGAGACTGAAGAGAAAGTCAAACTGAAAAACTCTAATCGATTACCTCATTTCCAACTTGATGCCGGAGCACAGGAGCCGTCGGCACGGATGCTGCTCTCCACCGGCAGCAGAAGTTGGATGGAGAAAGATTTGAATGCAATGACTCTTGGATTTGGACATTCCCGTGGAGTGCATCACTGCGCAGTAGTCTGTTTTCTTCATTTGTTTTGTCTTAAGGGGAATGATCAACATGTGGCACTTAAATAAAGAGCAGCTTTAGTCTATCAGAGGCTTGAGGAATATCGATCTCCGAAGAGCCCATGGGTGTCTTATTATTCTCAGTAATGGAATGAAGTCAGTATCTTTAAGATAATGGATGAAAGATCCAGCAAGCTCATTTTGGTACCTATCTTAGCCGTCCTTTTTGTTATGATAGGTTACCAATACATATGTCCTGCAGGCAGCAATTCATGCCACTTTAAGACTGAGGAGAAATTCAGAGGGGTGAGTTTACTTTCAACCCCGTATCAGGACAGCGATGATTTCTACAGAGATCCATATCTGGAGGATGACAGTCCTCCGAAACTACCGTCCAAATACAACTTCACCGAGAGAGATCTCGACAGGCACGTGGAGTTCAACATTAAAGGGGACGACGTGATAGTCTTTTTGCACATCCAGAAGACCGGGGGCACCACTTTCGGGAGGCACTTGGTGAGGAATATTCGCTTGGAGCAGCCGTGCGACTGCAAGCCGGGGCAGAAGAAATGCACCTGTCATCGGCCGGGGAAAGACGAGTCCTGGCTCTTCTCCCGGTTCTCCACCGGCTGGAGCTGCGGACTGCACGCAGACTGGACCGAGCTCACGAACTGTGTGCCTGTCATTATGGATAAGAAGGAGGCCCAGAGGAATAAAAGGTAAACACAAACAAAATAATCAACCTCTGTGCATGTTTGTGTTTGGTGCTCAGTCCCACTTGTTTTGTGCATTGTGGGGTGCTTTGTGTCAGTCAGGAAGCCTTAAACACAATGTTGCCATCTCTTATAGATCATTTCAGCAAAGAACTATTCATGTACGAATGCTGGCATGAGAAATATGCTGAAGTCTGTTCATGTCAGATTTAGAAAAAGGCATTTCCTGCTTTCAGCACATGCAAAGAAGACACTCATTCAAAAGAAGCATATAATTCCAAACACTCACCGACAGGATTTGTGATGAGTGTATATCCCATAATGTGTAAAACGTCTGTAAAAATCTCTAATCAGCCATATTCTTGGCTGTACACATGACCTGTTTTTGCTTTTGTCTCTTTTTAGAGTGAACTGTTCCTGTTTAGCTGTGCCACTATAACTGTTGCACAAAAAATATGTATTGTGTGACAACAGGATTCACGTCTCTCACTGGAAATAATTACATTTTCTGTGAGCACACTCAAAATGCTCATTCACCTTCTGTGCGTTTTTGGAGCCACTGGATAAGACCCTGAATGATAAAGCTAGCTGAAAATAGCGCAAAACCTCTATAATCCATACATTTCTCATCATCCTTGGCCTTTGTATGCTGGCATGAGTCCTTTTGAGATGTCTTATTTGTTGTATAGAATTAGTTTACCACTCATTCACGGCAAAAAGACCTCTTACTTGTTGTCATATTACCTCTCAAGTCAGTTTAAATTACCCTAAAATTCATGTTAAACTAATTGTCTAACATGTTCCTTTTATTTTGCTGTAATTGAGTCAATATGTATTACTAACGTATGTTACATGCTTTTTAAAACCTAAAGATGCAGACTGGCCACATCACTTAATAAGTGTATGTAGTGCAGCTGGCATGAATAGACTTACATTTTTTTTAAACTGCATTACAAGTCAGGCTAGTCATTAAAAAAAAGACCCGAAAAAAGTCCACACACCAGAGCACACATCCAGCAGAGGCACCACTGACCAAAACGTCTGGTCTCATAGGCTGGATTTCTGTCGTGCAGAGAATGTCCTTCTCCCTTAAGAAAAACACAATCATACAGCAAAGTACACAAGCGCATGATTTATTTCTGCTGTGCCAAGTGTTTTCTTTACTCAGGGAAGTGCTCGCTGGATGCGACAGCTCTTCATTTCACAGCTGCAGCATCTGTTCTGCACTTACACGCCTCTGGTCGCCTGTTCTTTAGCGGGCTCCCACAGCATCTATTCTGAGGTTATTCTGCCTCGACCAGGACTGTTGGCAGACACATTATGTGAGACACCCTCTTTAACCATCCACTGCACCAGGCCCATTTTCTTCTATGACTAAAAGCATTATGAAAATGTCATCGTCTTTATTATCTTCTTAAAAGAAACAGATGAGTAATGCCATTAGTGCAATATCTAATTGATCAAACTGAAAAAAAAAATCTCCTGTGCACATCATTTGTGGTAAACTTATCATAATTCACCCACACGTCTATACTGCGCCCTAAGGGGAAATGCCTGAAAACACGTGGCTGCCTATAGTCCACGCCATTGTCTCTGAGCGAGAGCCTTTTGGATTGACCGGCTGTCCTCCTTGCAGACACGCAACCTTCCAGTTCTTCAGGTGGCGGCAAGGCCGAGAAGGGCACAAATGGCAACTCCAGCGTGGCCCCGTGTGGCCTTTTCAGCCCGGCGGTGCGTGCAGCTCGGTGAGGCGGCCGCGCGGGCCGGTAAAGGTCAGACGTGTCAGCCCGTATCAGCCGGCGCGTCGTGCGGTGGGGCTCCTCTGGAGTGTGCTGTCAGTCAGTGAAGAAGTGGGGATGGCAGGTCGGCTCTCTTCGGGGGGGCTTCAGGAGAAACCTACCTCTAAGTGCTGTCCTCTTAAGTTGCTTTGTGGAGAGTTTCGGGGTATTAGCTCGCCGCTCATTGAACAGGTTGTTTCCCTCTCAAGCTCTTTTCAGAGGCCTGTGCCGAAGAGCTCCGCCGGAGCTATTTCCGATTGTTGCATGTTCATTATCTTACTCTATGCTCAGGAATTATTCATGTAGATATATTCAGAGTGACACTGGGACAAAAAGAAAGGAGCACATTTTTCAAAATTTATTTCAACACCAGGCAGAGGAGGTTCTGACTAAGTAAAGTGTTTGAAAGCATGGCTAATAAAAGGTGGGCCTTAAAAGGGGAAAGAAAAGTTAGTTTTTCTGATTAAAATCATACCAAACTTATTTATATCTGTATCTGTTGCATTTTATTATATGTTTTGTTGTTGGGCTGCTTAATGTTATTTGCTTAAATAAATCTAAACACAGCTTTGTGATTAAGTGAAGGTAAGATCATTTTAGTCCCAAACACACTTTTTAATAAATATGTTAGCCACTATTGGGCTCCTGATTTCCTCTCATACATTCATAAAATATGTACTAATACATGTACCTGTATGTAGTTGTAGCCATAGAAGTTTGTTTTAACAAATACAAAGAAGGTGGTGCTTGATATTCCATAGAAATCAAAGTAGATGATTTGTTAATATAACTCTGAAATAGTTGTGTTGAAGGTAGCTCACGTTTTTAAATCAAATCACCCCATTATTTGATAATGACAAAAATAAATGATTTCTCTGCTTATTATTAGACATAAAGCAAGCTTTGTTGCTCAACAGAGAAACTTCAAAAGAAGCTTTGCTCTTATTAAAGTGAGCCATAAAACAGAAGCATGAGCTTATCTTTCATCCAAGAGAAACAGATGATGCTATCACACCTCAGTTAAAATCTGTTATCTATTAAACATGGGGATGGCTTCTCTATCATTAAGTAGATAAAAACAAATATTTAATTGGTTATTGACATGCAATGACATGAGGAATTTAGTAGCTTGTGAATGCACAAATGAGCATTGGATATTATTCGGGAGGGACCTTTTTATTGTGTCAGGTAATATCGGGGCTGAAAGCTGTTTCTGTCTGAAATTTTTTCAGGTGATGTTGGGTGAGAGGTAAGATGGACCTTAGTTAAGTTGCCAGTCCTTCAAAGGGCCACACAGAGACACACAATCGTGCACTTTCAAACATACATGGAAAGACGATGTAAATACTGCACAGACAGCCTCCAGAAAAGATGAAAACCAGAAACCCTATATTTTTGATGCAACAGATCTAAGCACTACACCCCCGGGCACCTTTTTAATAATTTGTTCAAAGTACAACTGTAAACAACAAACTCATAACAATGCAATTATAAATGATAGAGACCATTAAGGGAGACTCAAATGAAAAAAAAGTACTTTATAATGTTTTAAATTGACATAAACCTGATTAAATTAATGATATTTAGGCCTGTACCTCCTTATTTGAATAAGGATGAAGAAGCCATTGGTTGAAGGCCTCTACTTTTTAGTCACTATGATAGAGTGCAGTGTAAGCCATTTTAATTACAAATCTTATTTCTTTTTGTCACATGTAGCAAACATGAATGTTAATGACGCATCTTTGGAAAAATCCAACATTCTCCATTTTCTATTCCTAAACTAAGAATTTTCTATATTCTTTTTGTTATGCCTCCAGCATTATATCAGTATGTTGAATGTTATTGGAATTGTAAAGTCAGTAATTTGCATGAATCTCACATATGTACATTTTTTACACACAGTGTCCAGCATGTTTTTCTGTTTCATTCTTCCCTTTTCCCTTCGAAACATTGCGGTAATTTTATTCATGTTCTGATGTTTCAGTTTTTATTAATTATGCAGTCCTCATTATCAATTTTCCTGTTGCCAGTACATGATGAATGCTGAGCTCAGTTAGAAAGAGACCAGTGTCCAATCACACTTTTCACTGTGCTGTCTTGATGAAACAGAGAAATATTTGGTAATGTAATGATGCATCCTCTGCAGAGGAGACACATTACATGACATTAATTTAGTTTTTAGATGTTTTGCATTTAGGGGCGGTATGTGCAGTGCACAGTGGTGTGCCCCATCACCTCACAGCAAGAGGGTTCCTGGTTGGAGTCCCAGGGGGAACCGGGACCTTTCTGTGTGGAGTTTGCGTGTCCTCCTTGTGTCTGTGTGGGTGATCTCCCGGTACTCCGGCTTCGTCCCACCATCCCAAAACCTGCACGTTAGGTTAATTGGACACTCCAAAATGCCCCTAGGAGTGAACGTCAGTGTGTGTGGTTGTTTGTGTTTGTGTGGCCCTGCAGTGGACGGGTGACCTGTCCAGGGTGGACCAGCCCGTGGTCAGCTGAGATAGGCTCCTGGCCCCCCGTCACTCCGCTGGGAATAAGAGGTATAGAGAGTTGATGGAGGGTTGTTCTGCTTCTAATATGAAGACATGGTTGTATGATTGTTTAATTTGGAAGCATCTGCCCTACGGAGATGATTTGGAAACAGGGGTGAATCGGAAATGAACAGGCTGTCAATCTTTGGAAAACTGAAAGAAAGAGTCCTATGTGAAATAAGGTCCCTGGTTATGTATATTAATAATTACTGTAAGTTTAAAGTTTGAATAGCAACTAATGAATGATGGAAGGCGATGCTTTATGGGAATTATCTGCTTGGGTTGAATGATTTTTTATTTATTAGTTACTTTGCAACCTCATTAGCAGGTGAAACTATTACGTAGAATGTCTAGTCTGGCATACGCACTCCAGCTTTGAAAGTTTCTTCAAACATATATTTTCCCACGACTATTCCCCAAAATAGCATATTTGAATTCTTTAAATTTCTCTTGCAATTTTTACATTTCTTTGACAGGCAGGAGCAGAAATAAACTAGTTTTACTAACATACCACTGAAATGATATTCCAGAATCCTTGCCTGAATAACACCCTCCATCATATTTTATTCAGTATAAATGACGCCGAGATGGCTGCAATTATTGTGTGGTTGTTAACTTTTAACAGTGCCGGTCAGTGAACCGTGCATGCCTCTCTCTGTCTACTACCTATGCGTGACATCTTTCAGTGCTCAGCATC